ATGCTAGCTATATGTTCCTTTGGCGCGATCGCAGAAATCTAAAATAAAACAATTTTTATATGCATTTGTCGCGCTCCTCAACAAGACTGCTATGGTTACATTAATACAAACCACGGTTTTCTAATGTAACATATTGTGAATATATTATATTATTTTGAAAAATTAAGAAATTTAAAAACAAAAATATGCGAAGGAACCTGTCCGTCTGCTACACTTTCATGCCTAAATCACAAAACCAATGTTGACATTGGGATAGAATTGATCTTGGGAAAGGACAGACGTTTACTTATCGCAAATAAAAGGGATGGATAGATTGTATGGAAGTTTATAATCGCCAAGATAAATGGTATCCTAAAAAAATAACTTGCTAACACTATTCAGAAATCATCTCCATGAATTTGTTTCAAAAAAATTGATTGTGTTACGAAACCATTCGAACTATACAATATTTTTCAGTCATCATTCACAGCAATCACTCACCCTTAAAATGGCAGTCTTTTCATATTCTAAAGAATAAAACATTTTCTAAGAACCCAACTGTATAATGGAAGAGAAATACATAACTGAGGCAAATGAATGAAATCTGTTCGCGTTATCTGAACTCAGATGTTTTGATAAGACCTGCATTGTATGCCTGGTCTGATAAAAATATCTTAGGTCAAGGCTTAAGCTATGAAAGAGAGTTTTATTTACGATCAAGTATACAGTATTTACAATTATCTTAACCTACAAAGTAATAATAGTAATAATAGTCCCTGTGGCAGTGTACCTTTAACGCTGGCAGCATTTCCTCGCTGTATTGCGATACTTATTCGTTGAGCCAGGAAAGTGCCAGTTCTGGGGTCACCGGTACTATCTAGTAGGCGCCAACTTAAATCTTTAATAAGCGCCTGTGCACTGAACCCCACGGCTCTTGGGCCTCTACTCCAAAGGGAACAAAATCGAAGTTGGAGGTAAGACTCTTATATTTGTGCCGTTTATTATTTAGCTATGAAAAATATTCACTAATGAACGAAATAAAATATTAAACTGATAAAACAGTTTTAGTATTTAAATAAAGCGTGTGATTCCTAACCCAGAGATAGTGTGTTTCAATCCCGGGTATTGCTATTGCATGTGCGAAACCAAAACTTTCACTTAAGGTGTTGAGTGAGTAAGACATCGTATTGACACTGGTATGTCTTAGATACATAAATCATCCTTGGTGTGACAGACAGTCCTTTAGACAGAGTGGACCACGTACTCTGGAATCCGTGGCTGTGGCTTCAACGAACAGAAATCGGTCGCAGCAGTGAGGTCGCTCTAAGAAGCCTGAGAAGTGACCAGGAAACTTCTGAGCTTTTCGAAGGAGTTATGCTGGCTTTATTAGCCAGGACTTTACGCACAACGCACCAAATGGGCATCTAAGTGCGGAAATTAAGTCCATATTCACACATACACAAAGCCGCTACAGAAGGCTAAAGCTTAGCGTGATAAATATAAAAAGAACAGCAATGTCTGCCTTAAGCCAATGCATATTGCAATTCTGGAACTATATGTGTAATAAAGTATACCAAAGATATACCCTGAGCTTAACTCTAGTCCCTTTTACTATTTCATTAAATGAAGAAAATATATCTTTCTACAATTAGTTAATAAGTTATATCCGACGTAATTCTGCATCGAAACAGATTCTTTTTTAATAAAATATTTTTTAAACAATATCCAGAAGTAGCAGAAGTTACTTTTTGACGAATGTTGGTTTATATTTTTTTTATTTATTTATTTGATGCACAAAACACATATCTTTAATAACTTAAATAAATTTGAAAGGATCTAATTAACCATGTCACATGCAAAATTAATGTTACAAAAGGGTCATAACTATCAAAGTAAATAGTAAAAAAAAAAAAAAAAATAATAATAATAATAAGTTCCTCGACACCAATTTAACTTAACTTAACCAGACCACAAGGGTCAGACTTAACCTACGATGAGGATTCTTTAATTACACTAATGAATTTATTAAATTTGGAGAATTGTCCACGTAGTGGTTGCTCATTGCCATCTCGTTATATTGACGAGCCATCCTGGTCAAGGGTTGTAAAACGAAATTTATTTTTATAAATTTGTAGGGAAAATAAATTGACTTCATTAGATCTACGGGCACTAAATTTAATATTAAGGCTTTGTGAGCTAGTATTGGGAGAGTCTATAATAGTGAGATTTTGTAAAGGTAAACTAAGTCGAAGACTATGCGTCTGGATTCTAATGTTGAACTTTAAATTTCAGGAGTCTATCGCAATAATTTAAGTTAGACCGGCCAGGTTTTATACGATAACATAAAATTCTGAGAAATTTCTCTGAATTCGTTTAATTTCGTCAATGTCACCTTATAATTCGGCGACCATATAGACTACTGTATTCTAATATACTTCTTACGAGGCTGAAGTATAAGTACAAGGTGCTAGAGGATTTTTAAACCTTTTGTGGATCTAAGAATAAAACCCAGTAGATGGTTTGTTTAGACGTGATGTACTATATGAGGAATGAAAGTTGTATCGAAAGATACTAGGTCTTTTGCAACATTGATCTGTTAACTAATTGACCATCTATGTCGTAGTTCCATACGATTTTTTTCGTTTATTAGTAAACGAATGATGGTTTAAAAGTGTCTTAAACATAAGTCTGACCCTAAACTCTTAAATGATGTTTAATAAATTACATTTTATATGACACTAGCTGACCCGGCAAAGGTTTGTTTCGCCATGTATTTCTAGGAAACATTATTTTACTTCAAAAAAAATAGTAGAGGGGTTAAAATTAGTGGTTGTAACAAAAACAACAAAAAATAAAATAAAAATTTGGGATGGACACTCCTTATCACTTAGAGGTTTGAAATATAGATAGTGGCCGATTCTCAGACCTACTAAATATGCATAAATTTTTTATAAGAATCGGTCGTGCCGTTTCGGAGGAGTTTGGGAACGAACATCGTGACACCAGAATTTTATATATTAGACAAGATGAACGTCAGAAAGTTTAACCGTTTTTTCTATTGATAAATCGTTCTGGATTTGTGTTTATTGAAATAGAACAAATCGTACTTAAGTCATTAATATATTTTTTTATTTAAAGGGCTCTGTTGCACTACTATACTTTTCGAAAATTGCTTTTTGTACTACATACAACGTTCTCACGGTTAAGAGGTAAGTTAGAACTTTAAGTGGCACTTATTGGCAAAAATATCAAATGGATTTGTTTAAGTAATTTCCACACATTTCACCTCCTATGAAACGCAAGTTAAATTATGTAATATTACGATGGGACCTGTCATATTCCATTCTGAAATTTTCCAAGCTAAACTCGGAATATGCTGAAATTTGTCCTGCTTTGACAATATTTCACAGACAAAATTACATAATATTTCAAAACCTTAAATTGTCTCGAGTTCTATTCTTCCGATGTAAATAAAAATATAATATATATGTATTGATTGTTTCTTTAGTTTAAGACATTTTCAGCGAATTCGTAATAAATATAAATTTAAATTCTCACTAGAATGTAGATTTACTGGGTTATTGCGAACAGCCGCAAGCAAGGTTAACAGTATGACATTATAAAATATTCACGATAAAACATTAAATACTCTGGTCAAAGCAATTACTCTGTAAAGCTTTTACTTATTAAATGTGCGTTAAATCCACGCTGTTAGCTTAATGGCACTTCGTCACATAAGCTCATAATACGTTTGTTAATGTAATTTATTAACTTGATAATAATACCATGATTTAGATTAGTCCTTTTAAAATAACATAAGTAACACGCACAAACTTTTGCGTCTTTTTATTTATATTTTTTCTTTATTTAGACATATGTGCTTTTCGGTCCGCAACAATAACTATTTTATCTGGAGTTTAACCCAAAACATTATTTACATAACTACAGCAATCAGGGTGTGATATACATGAATAATGTAATACAATCGCGTTTACATTAATTAAAAGAGTTTTATTTAATACGCGCGTAAACAAAAGACAATGTCAACGACCGAACCAACCAAATTACGAATATTGTCTACATTTGACTGTCTATATTTTATGGAATGAGAAAAAAACTTACTACTTAGTCTTTTATTAAGAGAAAGGTAACATAAGCTATTTAATAAAGATAAAAATAAGCTAACCATAGATGTAAATGGAAGCTAAATAAGATTCAGTGATCAGTTCAGTCGAGATCTTAATTAATACGACATTCAATTTTTGTTTGCGCACCAACTACAATCTACATATTATATAGTTTGACGTGTTTGGACAGGGCAGTAAGGGATATAGATGAACGTGCGTTTTGTTATTATGTCTGGAAATTCATACATAATAACAAACGTCAAGACGTCAAATTAAAAGAATTTAAAAAAAATGGTATCTTGTATACAGATCATGTTATAATTTAGTTTCATGTAAAGTGCATCCTCTTGACTGAAATACAAGCAAATCAAGAGGTCGTTCACCTACTCTCCTTGTATATACAACAGTATTTAGTAGTAGTTCGTGTTATACAAATTTTTGGTAGTGTAAAATTTATTAAAAATACGAAGTCGTATTTTTATAAATATAGGTACGTACGAAGAAATTTCAAAACATTTTATTATTCTACACATGATGTTTTGTTGATATTTTATCATTAAACACACTACTGCATTGTTAACTCGCTATGTATATTTTATTAGTATGTAATAAATGGAAGCGGTTAATTAGTAATTAGCATTATCGATGATTGTGTTTATCTTTCCCAAACAAATCTCGTAAAAGCGCATTCAAATCGTTCTTTTCAATGGAATGTCAAAAAGCATAGTTTGTGTTATATTTATTTAAGACCAAAGCCTATTCCGAGTAAACAAACGCTAATAAACGCAGGTCCGTCCGGGCACATGGTGAGCCCCTCGCCCCGTACCCCGCGCTGACAGATGGCACGCCCATACTTTAGCGGCCTGAATCAAAACAATGCCAAAATCCACTCACCAGCCTACCAACACATTTGCTGGTTGATATCCTCCGTAACAAAGGTTTCGTCTCTGTTTCATTTTCACTGTCCGTGCTATCTTCGAAGGAAGATTTTATATCTCCGCTCGCATTTCCCTCATCCACGGACATCGCGCTTTGGGCGCTCTCGCCGCGCACAGCACTAAACACGGCTACATCATTCAGAATATACTAATAATTCACATTGTTTAAATAAAACGCTACCTCGCTGACATTTCGAGCGAGCGCCATGACCACTGTGATAATAGATGCTGAAAACAAAACAAGCAAAGAATCAGTAGTGACATCTGTTTCAGGACGCCGAGATCAATGTTTTCATGAAATTGTAGCAGGGGTTTGCACGGACTTTTAGTGTCTTAACAAATCACAAAGATGGCGTTGCTTTGGAATGCAATTGTAATATTTATAAACTTAAGTAAATAAGCACATAAATTTGTAATACAGTTCAATAAAATCTCATAATTGAACGTAAAACCTTACATAACAATATTTTAATAAAATTTTAAACAATATATCAACCTTTTTATAGTTATTGTATACAAAAAAACATGATAGAAGAATATAAAACGTTCTAAAATTTAAATTCAAATATTTCATTATGAATTTTTTGTAAACCATTTCATTTCTCAGAAATCCGACGTAAGATGCGCACTGTGTGAATATTCTCTTGATTTTTTTATATTTTTTTATTAGTTTTTAAGCTAATGTTAAGCTTCAACTTCGTAAAAATATTTTGATAATCTTTTCTGAGAAATTTACAAGTAACTGGATCTAAACTTCGATAAATTAACAAGATGAGGGAGATCATTAATCTTCAAGTCGGTTCGTGCGGAAATCAGATTGGAGGAAAGGTTGGGATAATTAAATTCAGTGTGCATTCGTAAGTAGCTTTCTTATTTTGTGCTTAATACCTATTAATACCTATATGCATTTTTCAGTTCTGGGAGGTGATTTCTGACGAACATGGGATTGACCCCAGCGGTTGCTACCATGGCGACTCGGATCTTCAGCTGGAAAGGATAAATGTCTACTACAATGAAGCTTCTGGCGGTAAATATGTGCCCAGAACAGTACTCATTGATCTCAAGCCGGCGACTATGGACGCCGTGCGGTCTGGACCATTCGGCTGCCTCTACCGACCTGACAACTTCGTATATGGGCAAGGAGGCGGCGCTAACAACTGGGCCAGAGGACACTATACGGAAGGCGTTGAAATCTTAGAATCTGCATTAGACGTTGTCAGACGCGAAGCTGAAGGATGCGACTGTCTCCAAGGCTTTCAAATGGAGCATTCTCTTGGAGGCGGAACCGGAGCAGGGATGGGGACCCTGCTTATCAACAGAATAAGGGAAGAATATCCAGACAGAATAATCCTCTCTTTCTCAGTTTTTCCAAGTGCACGAGTCTCCGATTGTGTAGTAGAACCCTATAACACAACGCTTGCTGTGAACCAGCTCGTAGAAAACACAGACCACACGTTCTGTCTGGACAACGAGGCGTTATATGACATCTGCTTTAGAACTCTTAAACTCACGACACCTACTTATGGCGATTTAAACCATTTAGTTTGCGCAACAATGTCTGGTATCACAACATGCTTAAGATTTCCCGGACAGTTAAATGCGGACCTAAGAAAGCTCGCAGTCAATATGGTACCATTCCCTCGCCTTCATTTCTATACGCCTGGATTTGCACCCCTTACTTCTAGAGGAGGGCAGCAATACAGAGCATTAACAGTTCCCGAGTTAACGCTACAAATGTTTGACGCCAAGAACATGATGGTTGCGTGCGATCCTCGACACGGGAGATATTTAACAGTTGCAACCATATTCAGAGGCAGAATGTCTATGAAGGAAGTTGATGAACAGTTAGTGAATATTCAGAATAAAAACAGCACGTACTTTGTGGAGTGGATACCAAATAATTGCAAGATTGCAGTATGCGATATTCCACCTAGAGGCTTAAAGATGTCTTCCACGTTTATAGGAAACACTACAGCTATTCAAAGTATATTCAAGAGGGTCGCCGAGCAGTTTGTGGCGATGTTCAGACGAAAAGCATTCCTGCATTGGTACACTGGTGAAGGTATGGATGAGTTAGAGTTTACAGAAGCCGAGAGCAATATGAACGACTTAATATCAGAATACCAGCAGTACCAGGACGCGACTGCGGATGATGAAGGGGAGTTTGATGAAGAAGCAGAAGGGGAGGGGTTAGAAGAATGACGTTTGTTGTTTTTCTATTGTGTATGTCCTTATTTGGAAATAATAAAAAAACTTATATTATTTGGGATTTTCATTAATGAGCAATTTATCTAAGGTTTAGTTTTAACTTGTAATTTTGTTTAGGAGTATAGCTCATTGTTTTCGCCTACAATTTAAACACTTTAGAAAATGGCGAAATCAAGATTTGATGGCGCAATCAAGACGAGATAATTGCAGTCGGCTACGACTGCTTGGAGCAGCTGTGTTCGACCGTAAAGGTGAGCTTACCAATGTATAATTAACCTATTCTTTTGTTGATAATTGTATTTAATTTATTATAATTGACAGTGCAACTAAAATGGCAGAGTGACAGCACACTTGTTCTTTATTTGTTACGTCTCAAAAAATAGGTTTTTATGGCTTCTTCGACTTATATAGACTCATCCCCTCAAGTGCTGGCATTTGTGGTTGGCAACAAGGCGGTTGGGTTAGTTGGTCAATACTGCTGGCAATACAATGGTGGCGTGGGCTTTGGCCTTGGCTTTGGCTTGCTTTGGCTTGCTGGATGTGACTCGATGTCATTCCGTTCAAGTGCGAGTTCATTTACTAGATGAACTCGATGAAGAAACCAGCTGCTAAGACCAAGGGTAAATAAAACTTAAAGTCGTATTTACTCAGCTGACTGTAGGCCCTTTCGGCACACTGCGTTTGTGTCCCGGCCAGACTCGCCAGCCACGTGTGACTGTGACCCCGGACGCTTGTCAAGTAGTGCTATAAACATACATTTCAAAATACCGGTTTATGTCATGAAGATATTTGTTTGTTACAATCAAACCTTTTTATTTTATAATAATGTATAATTGAGTATCTTTAGAAATCGTTAAAGTAGATGCAGTATAATTTTTTATAAAATTAAAAAATGGTGGGATGGTGGTAGTCGGGGTTTTTGGGCTTTTATTCCCGTACATATCTTAACATCTTATCACAAGTATGTTCTATCCGTTTTTAGATATCAACAATGCCAAGAAAAGAGAGAACCCACCGCTCGCACCACTACGAAAGCATCTTGGACCACTACCTAACATAACTAACAAAAAATAAGACTTCTAGACAAAAACAACATTCAGTAATTTTGTCTGCAGCCACGCCAAGCAGTATTTGAAGAGAAGAAACCTTTGAAGAAAAAAACTAAAACGAAATCAGTACAAAGAAGAGAAGGGAGAAACCGTCATCAAAAATAAAGAAAAAGTAAGCAGAAAAGGGAAAAAAAAACTAAAGAAGGAATGAACAAAAAGAAAAGAACAAGAGTAAAAGAAATTGAGGAGAAAGGAGACGTTGAAGAGAAGATGTTGAGAATCTTGCGACGATGAGTCGGAATATTCAGAAGAGAGAGACATTGTGTCTATTTGCTGTGATATAGGAAAAAACAATGAGATGTGGTACCGTTGTAGAAGGAATGGGCACATAAGCAATGTTCTGGTTCTGAGAGCCCAGTTGATTATATTTGCGTTTTTTGCTTAGATCCTTAAAGTAAATGTTACACGATTACGTTATATTGAAATTTTGTAAGAATAGAGTGACATCCAGACTGAGATAGAAATCTTTGAGGCTGATTTAATCGGCCAAATACGTAGCTCCCGTTATTCATTGCGATCTCATTGCCGCAAATTCGGGTAATGAGAGCGATCATCAAGTTTTGTCAAAATGTCAAATTATGTTACGTTAACGCTGTGTTAATCATAGTCAAGAGGGAGCATAAATTCATAAGTTCAATTTGGCTTTTATTTAACTCTAGGGACCACATTGTTCTTGTTGCGCCAACGAGGGGGAAAAAAAAAACAAGTATGTGGGTGCGTCCAAAAAAAAATCAAGAGAACAGCAGGAATATTTCATATTTGTAGCGCTAAATTTTTTTCATCATTAATTTCAAAATGAATGGAAAGAATCCGAGGCGTAGCGGTGGTGGGTGGCAGCTCGTCATTCACGGCAAAGAGGACAAAATTTTCATTAGGTATGTAAAGATGATATGGAATTTCCGGGACCGCTTAGAGCAGTCGGTATCGACTGCAACATGCGGTCCGTCTATGGCCACACTTATTGCCCATCCACACTCCACGAAGGAACGCGAGCGGGAATGTTGACGGTGCGCTCGTGCCTCGTGTCGCCTCGCCGCCGCTACGCTTTTTTTAGGGCGCGCGAGTCAAAGGACCCGAGGACGCGAGTCGAGAGTCACGACACACACGCTTCTTCAATATAAAACATTGCCGCATTAGGAGACCAAGAAAAAGATTAAATTATATTTTTACTTTTTATATTTGAGAAGAGATGAGTCAAATTTTTTCTAAAGTGGCGGAGGCTGCCACCACTCCACTATCCCGCAAAAAACAGTGTCCGCACGCAGGAAGCCGTGTGAACACTGCTATTGAAATGTATGTGTGATTAAACGGGATCCCGCTTTTTACTGGACTAGGGATCCAGTTTCTAGTGACAAAACCGAATGGCACGATTCCACCGGATCGTTTTTTTGCAGGATCCCGCATGCGGGATGCTCGTGTGAACGCTAGCATATAAACACATTCGCCATCAAAAGGGATCCTGCAGAAAACGGGATCCTCTAAAAAACTGGACTGCCGTGTGAAAGGGCCGGGAGGGGATGAATCTCATCCCCCAATCTCATCTTTAAGCCAAAGCCAGTCATAATTAAACTTACTCTTTGGAAGACGCAGCAAATAAAAAACAAAAATTATCAATAAGATAATAGGTCAATTATACTATATACAATTGATGCATAATATTGGTCGTCCATCTTGAAAATATAGCAAGCAACTACAACATTCGTGGTGAGGGCTTCGACAAGGCACCTCGTGAGAGCCTGGAGCCGGCTTTACAGATGTATTGATTTGAATTCCATTCATTTTTAATTATTTATTTATTTATTTATTTAATGTGAAGTTTGTTAGGCACATGTAATTTAAAAAGAAACATTTTAGTATTTTTAAATATTTATTTGATTACATTCAATATTACACTTATGACAGTATACACCAAAGACATGCACAAACATTGGACAATACAGCAGCTATTCTTCAACTTCTTCGTCAAACTCTCCTTCGTCGTCAGCCGTGGCGTCCTGGTACTGCTGATATTCAGAAACCAAATCATTCATGTTACTTTCTGCTTCTGTGAACTCCATTTCATCCATTCCTTCACCAGTGTACCAATGTAAGAAAGCTTTTCTTCTAAACATTGCTGTAAATTGCTCCGATATTCTCTTAAACAACTCTTGAATTGCTGTCGTGTTTCCTATAAATGTAGCAGACATCTTTAATCCTCGAGGTGGTATATCACACACGGCCGTCTTGACATTATTTGGGATCCATTCAACAAAGTAGCTGCTGTTTTTATTTTGGATATTTAGCATTTGTTCGTCCACTTCCTTCATGGACATCCGTCCGCGGAAGATAGCTGCAACGGTGAGATAACGACCGTGTCTTGGGTCACAAGCGGCCATCATATTTTTAGCGTCAAACATTTGCTGGGTCAATTCTGGCACTGACAAAGCCCTATACTGCTGGCTACCACGAGACGTTAACGGCGCAAAGCCTGGCATAAAGAAGTGCAATCTTGGAAATGGTACCATATTAACTGCCAGCTTTCTTAAATCTGCATTTAACTGACCAGGAAATCTTAAGCACGTAGTCACTCCAGACATCGTCGCTGAAACCAAATGGTTAAGGTCGCCATATGTTGGCGTCGTTAGCTTAAGTGTTCGGAAGCAAATATCGTACAACGCTTCATTGTCAATGCAGAAAGTTTCATCCGTGTTTTCTACTAGTTGATGTACAGAAAGCGTGGCATTGTATGGTTCAACAACGGTATCAGATACTTTCGGACTCGGAACCACCGAAAAAGTGTTCATTATTCTATCAGGGTACTCTTCTCGTATCTTAGATATTAGTAATGTGCCCATACCAGACCCAGTGCCACCACCTAATGAATGAGTTAATTGAAATCCTTGTAAGCAATCGCACCCTTCCGCTTCCTTCCGTACCACATCCAGTACAGAGTCGACTAGTTCTGCTCCTTCTGTGTAGTGTCCCTTGGCCCAATTATTGCCTGCGCCAGACTGTCCAAACACGAAGTTGTCTGGGCGGAAGATTTGGCCGAAGGGTCCGGAACGGACGGAATCCATGGTCCCGGGTTCGAGATCGACGAGCACAGCCCGCGGCACGTATTTGCCACCTGAGGCTTCATTATAGTACACGTTGATTCGCTCGAGCTGTAGATCGGAGTCGCCTTGGTAAGCTCCGGTTGGGTCGATTCCATGTTCATCCGAGATAACCTCCCAGAACTGTAAAGAGAAATTGAGATGAGATCAGATTTGCGATAGTCGTACGGCAGCCCGCATTGTTGTTGCCGAGATTTATTACCTTAGCTCCAATCTGGTTTCCACACTGCCCGGCTTGGATGTGGACGATTTCCCTCATTTTTGATACACGTAAAATTTCGAGCCTAAAATCTAGATTGTTAAAAATTTAGCCTTTTAAAATAATCATTAAATAGAAAAAGAATAAAAAAAAACGTTATATTAAACGTGCATCACTTAAGAAATTTTCTAAAATAATGAATCATTTTTACGTTTGTCAAAAGAACATGGAAAATATTCTTAATTTAAAATTTTATTTTTTTCATCGTTTGAATTGGTAGGCTGGCTAAGAAGAGGTCCAAATGAAAAAAAAACTTCTAGCTGTATATTTGGTGACTAGTGTAACGGTTTTAAAACATTTCTTTTATGTGTAACAAATATTAATAGTAGGAAATATTATTATTATTATTATGCTTAGGAAAATTATTTTACTGGTATGCCTTCATGTTCATATAAAAAAAATAAAATGCCTTTTTAAGATTTCTTATAAATACATTTAAGCCATATAGATATTAATAGCCATAGATAGAAGAATAAATATATTTTATTTAATGTAAAGTAAATACAAGAAAATTTTATTCGTCACTTCCATCATTAGGGACTGTTGTTTCCTCTTCCTCAAACTCTTGGTCTTCAATAGTGGCGTCTTGATACTGCTGGTATTCGGATATCAAATCACTAAGGTTATTATCCGCTTCCGTAAAATCGGCTTCATCCATACCTTCACCTGTATACCAGTGTACAAAAGCTTTCCTTCGAAACATAGAAGAAAACTGCTCAGCAATTCGTTTAAATAATTCCTGAATAGCTGTGGTATTGCCTATGAACGTTGCAGACATTTTAAGACCTCTCGGAGGTATATCGCAAACAGCGGTCTTAACATTACTGGGTATCCATTCAACAAAGTAATCCTTATTCTTATTTTGAATATTCAGCATTTGTTCATCAACTTCTTTCATGGACATTCTGCCTCTGAAGACCGCAGCTACGGTTAGATATCTCCCGTGGCGTGGATCACATGCTGCCATCATATTTTTGGCATCAAACATCTGCTGTGTAAGTTCTGGGACGGTGAGTGCTCGATATTTTTGGACTCCTCTAGACGTAAGCGGCGCAAAACCGGGCATGAAGAAATGTAACCGCGGAAATGGAACCATATTAACTGCCAGTTTTCGCAAATCAGCGTTCAGCTGTCCGGGAAATCTTAAACAAGTTGTAACACCGGACATCGTTGCTGAAACTAAATGATTTAAGTCGCCATAAGTTGGTGTCTGTAACCGAAGTGTCCTAAAACAAATATCATATAAAGCTTCATTATCAATACAGAAGGATTCATCAGAATTTTCTATAAGTTGATTCAATGCCAATGTAGCATTGTATGGCTCTACAACAGTATCCGAAACTTTAGGACTAGGAACAACAGAGAAAGTTAGAATAATCCTGTCAGGGTATTCGTCTCTCAATTGGGACAGTATTAAGGTTCCTAATCCAGATCCAGTGCCTCCTCCAATTGAATGGACAACTTGGAATCCTTGTAAACAGTCGCAGCCTTCGGCTTCTTTTCTAACAACGTCAAGGACGGAATCGAGCAAATCTGCTCCTTCTGTGAAGTATCCCTTAGCATAGTTATTGCCTGCACCAGTGCTGCCGTAGACAATATTATCAGGACGAAAGATCTGACCGTATGGGCCGGATCGTAAGGAGTCCATGGTACCAGGTTCTAAATCAACTAAAACGGCTCTCGGCACATATTTGCCACCAGCACCTTCATTGTAATACACGTTGATACGCTCCAACTGAAGATCAGAATCCCCAGAGTAGCAACCATTTGGATCTATTCCATGCTCATCTGATATCACCTCCCAAAACTGTAAAATGGAAGGACATATATATTTATCAAAATCGGTTAATTTCATTATAAACCCATTCCTACTTGGGGCTTGATAAATTATTCTTACCTTCGAACCAATTTGGTTACCACATCTACCAACTTGTACATGAACAATTTCTCTCATATTCACAAAGAATTTTCGTTAATTAATAACAAAAAGAAATAAATCGAAGAAATTAAAATTAAAGTAAAAATAAAATGTATTCTTACATTAAAACATCTAGTCTATACATTAAAAATGTAATGGCGTCATGGCCAATGGGTTTATTTAAATTCGAAATATTCAAATAAAAATACTGTATCAAGTTTAAATTTATTAGAAACCTTATTCAAAATCACACTTAGTCTATAAAAGTATAAACGCCTTATTTGAAATAATATAATATTACACAAATATCTATATTACTTATACTAATTATTGCAACAGAAGTTTATTTGGTGAAGTTCAATGAATGTTTATGAGGATTTCGTCTCATATCTTAGTATGCGTAAAAATAGAATTTGGGATAATTCATAAAAACGTCAGTAGATAATAATTCCCTTCCTCGTTCTTCGTTTGTAAATTTACCGACTATTATTACTATTACTTTTAAACATATAACAAAATGTAATATCACCTTACACTTGTCTAATATTCTGAGGATTCATACAGCCTGTGTTCTGCTATCTGTCAATCATCTGTCAAACATCTGAACATTGACAGATGAAATATCTCAAACTAGTATTGTCTTTGGAATACCATTAGCTTTTTTCATTTAATAAAATACTTATATTTTGTAAGTATTCATAGAACCAGATTTAAACAAAATGGACTGTGTTAAAATAACTTTAACTTTATCCGAAGATGAAAACCGATCGTGCATTAAAAGTGCGTGGCACGGTACCACGCATGTTAAAAGTTGTAAATTTATAGTAAACATAACTTAATCCGGAAGTAGTGTCTCCCCTTAACTATCTCCTGTTAGAATCCTAAAGAAAACAATTAAGCGCAGAAAATACTTTTGTTTTCTAAGGCGTTAAAGAATCCAGATTTAAACAAAATTAAGATCGAATAAATGCTTTTTATGTAAATTAATCAGGTACTTAAAGATACACATAAATAAATCTATATTATAATATATTATTTAAATATTGGGTATAGTATGTACATCAAACGATAACGCCTTTTACTTTTCTAATGGCATATCAAACCATATTTTTGACAGAATTAAGTATCGCAGTCAAATCTGTCCAATGACGAAAGTTTTACGTGAAACCTCATAACTAACAATGTGGTATTCGAATCACTTAAAGTTATGTAAAGTGGGTATCCACTTAATACCTAGTAATATAATCCAGATAGTTTCCCCTGTCTATATATAATTGGAAAAATCAACGTGAAGCAACGTTGCATTTCCTGAGCGTTTCTGATCCCGCTCGTAAGGTAATAAAAATTAATTAATCTTATGTATTTAACTAATTAATTAGTGTTTTTTTCCGTTAATGCTGATAAAAAGTGAATTAAATCTGATATGAATGCTTATGTATTTATTAATCATACTATAAAAAATAGTAGATTGATTTAAGACTACTGTTCATAATATATTCATTTAAGGACTTAATTTTAATATCCGATTTAAATATCGTAATCTATACATAAGGGTAAAACCAAATTAACCCATTAATAATTTTGGACTAGTAAAAGACATCATAGCAGTCAATTCAAGTACAGCATCACAAAATTTACATTAATGAAAAAATATAACAATTGTATACAAATCAATTTACGCTATTAGGAGTGGGTACGATACGATAATATATCAAAATTGTTTCACCTATTTAAATTAACTAAGTAAAGTTGAAGTCAAATTGAATTTAGGTACGCCACACAAACAAATATAAATCTTTCACTTTTTTATACTTAGTCTTTTTTCGAGCCAATGCAGTAACATGTAAAATAATTGTTATGTGATAGTTTATGTTTTTGTTCATTCCGATATGAACAATGAGTTGATTGATTGTTAAGTTCATTTCAATACTCATAAAGATTAATATTATTTCTCGATTTCAAAATGTATTAACAAGTGTACTGATTAAATTAGTTTTGGACCTGTAAATACAATCACTTTTTAAGACAGCTTATGACAAAGTGCGGGCGGTGCGGCAATTAGTGCCTCGATCATTAATTCAGGGCGTTTCGTACTTTGTCACAACACTATTTTTCCATTTCAATTAACAAACTGACAATTTCGAAAACGTCAGTTGACTTCGTCTAATTAAAAATACGACTATAGATGACGTTTTACATTTCCGGTTCAAAATAATTTAATTAATTAAAACATTTTTCAACAAATACAAATTTGCATACACAACGTGTTTATACGAAATGCCCGGTACATAAAACGCTCTGAAGATTTTATTTGACTTTGACGCGTCCAAAATAGGCACAGAAGCAATAATGTTCCACGATTTTGTATCTGTGTGGTAAAACGGTTGAAGGTGCGTTGGTCGGCCTATGTCTGAGTCGATTAGGTAGTGGCACTTGGAAGGCGGAAGGTAGGTCGAATTGTCACCTTTGTTTAGGTCGTTAAAATGTGGGTGGATTATGCGGGTAGCTGTAAAAATTTGGTATATCAGAATTTGTGGCTGAAAAATATTGTTTAATAGAAAGACACACAAAATTGCTTTAATGCAAGTTACTTGCATTTAAAAGGACCGCACTCAATTATATCTTAAACTAGCAGACTCGGCCAAGCGTTGCTGTGGCTAAAGTTTTTGTTATATTAGATAGTAGCAAACTATTCAAGGGAAACGGTAGGAGAACAGCAATCTTGGGGACCACCATGCTTTTTTGGTGATTATGCCATTAAATTGTAGCTTATGTGAAACGTTGGTACTTTCAACACAGCACCATCTGCCATCTGCATCTGGTTAGAATTGTGACTATCAAATAATAAACAAGTATTTTGCAATAAAATAATATTGCGGATATAAATTGAGATGTAAGCTATCCTATCTTTTAAGTTGGATCAAACTGCACACGGTGTGCAAATTTGATTGAAATCGGTTCGGTAGTTTAGGAGTCCATAGCGGACAAACAACGTGACACGTAATTTATATATATTAAGATAAAAGCCAAATATTTATCTAAAAGTGGTTTTTTTTTTCTATAATTCAATTGTAGTTTCTTACCATTATGTAAGTGACTAAAAGGCGCGGGAAGCTGTCCATCAAACTCGCTGGCCACGAAACGTATACTAGCGCCCGGTGGGAGGTGAAAACTGGAGGGCGATCGGTACCATTCTTTGCCAAAACACACCACTTTCGGTTCAGCCGGTAGATGCCGCAACAGCACCATTGGGCCGTGGTAATTGTTGTATAGCGCTGCTATACGGGAAATACCTGAAAAATTAAAGGGATTTCTGTAGCCAGGTTTTGTAAGGTTTTTTCTGATAACCCGGTAATGGATTTTTCTGACCCGAAATTTAAGCGCAAAGCATTACCTAGGCCCACGGCTTTAAAACCTAGGGTCGTTAATTCGAATCATGGATTTATATTTTACCTTTCTATTTTTTTTATAGAATAAGTTGTTTGTTGATGTTAAGTGATACCGCCGCGACTGGACACTTTCAATGCCAGAGGACTCGCGAGTGCGTTGCCGGCCTTTTAAGAATTGGTACTTTTTTTTCTTTTAGATATATGGGCGTAAGACTTGCGAGTGCTATTAAAAGAAAACTTTTTGAACAAACCAATAAGATTCAGTCAAAATTTGAGAGACAGAAGGCTAATCATCTACTTGTCTATTAGGAACGAAATGCTATAAATATAGGTGATAAGGACAGGATTTATGTATAATATTCACAATTAGAGACTTTTAAATATCGTGTGTGTATGAAAATTTCATTACTCAAATATCTTTACCGACATTCAACATATTACGTTAGAATTTGATATATAGTATTCTACGTTAGGGAACATAACACTTACTGATACTACTGAAGAGCATCACACACATAACCGCAAGATGGCCGGTGTAAGAGAGATAGTGGCATCTCTCTCGCTCCTTGCGCCATCGGAATAGCTCTGTCCCTACCGCGAACGTCATTTTCTGGATACAGTCGAGTGAAATTGCGCCGGCTAGAATTATCATACTGTATACTGGGTACAGGAATCTGAAAATTAAAAAATCTTTATGAAGTAATTATTTCAATATTGGCAGTTGAAATTCCTATCTAGTTAGTATATACAAGTAGCGGCACGAAACTCTAGCGCTGACCGTTATTGCGCAGAAGTAAAAAATAAGGTACCTGAGGGGGGCTAGCGGAATGAAGAGCGTCGATTGGCTCTCCAGTCGCATTCCGTCCCGCACCGATACGACACATGCGCAGCAATCCCCTCCACGTATCGGCCAGCGCTAGACTTACGTGCCGCTGCCTATACTATATGAACACTGATCATGTCTGATGAAAATTACACATTAAATTGATGTTGCCTGGTTCTGATGTCATTAAAAATAGGTTTTCTTTAGTAGTTAGGTAGGACTTTTTAAATCTGTTGTGGATACATTACAAACATTTTGGTTGAAAAGTCATAGGCTTGGTCAAGTACCAAGACACTTTATGAACTCCATAAAAATAACTAATACATATTCAAGTGAATAACTGCTTTAAAATGGCTTTGTAATTACAAGCTTTTAACAAGTTTCCTATAAATAAATTATATATAGTCTTGAGTACATAACACTTTGAAAACAAGTTCTATAACAATACACTTACCCCCTTATACATAAAAACCAAATCTCGTTTCATCACAGCTTATAAATTTTGACTTTTAAAGAGTGTAATCTTTGATTTATGAATGAGCTGATAAGTCTTTAAATAGTCCCACATTTTTATATAAATTAACAAAGCATGTACACACCTCTCTTCCTTGTGCGGCTGCAGCATAAAAACACCAAGCCATAAGGCCAATGGCATCAGACTAAGCCAATAGGGAATACAAAAGGCCGGCGGTGCAATCGAACGCGTAGCAACAGCACGACACGCTAACAGCAGAAGTGGGCACGATAAAGCTAGGACCTGTCAAAGTAATTAATTAAAGTTTCTTTTAGCATTTGCAAACTAGCTATTTTTGAGAGCAACGGTGTCGGGTAAGGTTTTAATAGATGCCTAAAGTTAGCCTAGCGTAGCGGACTTCATGAGAAATCCATTAAAGATGTAATTACTTGAAACATAATATGTTGTCTTTTGTTTGTTTATACATTAAATAAATTACTTGGCAAAAAGCTTCGTAATTACGGTTTCCGTACTTACGAAGTACTCGGCTAAGCTGCTTTTTAGACCATCTCTATACATTTAAATTATAAAGAGTAGTAGAGATATAAGCGGCCAATGGCTGCATACTTAAGATATAAATAGAGAATCAATAACTATTTTACTCAAAGGGAAAGACGGATTAGTTTTCAAGAATTTAATCTGGAGTTTATTGCTTGCAGTCTTACAATTTTTTGTTTTAATCTCATAATACAACAACGTGAATGGGGTAAAATCTTAGCCTTGTTACAGTAAAGGTCAGTACTCACATACGGTATTACTCTATAGTTTTACTCGAAGTCGAGTAAAAATCAACCAGTGGACCGCAAACTCACAGCTCGAAGGCTCGCACCGAGCCGGCTCGATGGAATTGAATTGAATTAAAGTAATTTCCTTCGAACCTACTTGAAGCGAGCCGTCAATCTTGACTCGAACGTGTGTACGTGACTGCGAGTGGCGCGAGGCGAGCGACAGTCTGGTACTGTTTATCGTGATTGAAACAAGTGTTTTTAAGAGAAATGGATTTGCGAGTTTATTCCAAAAGCGCTATAGAAGACTTTATTAACGCATATAGACAGTGTGAGTGTTTATGGAATGTCAAGTCCAAAGATTACTCCCACAAAAATAAGAGAAATTAATGTTATGATAAATTTCTTTTCATTTTCTTTGATTTTCTTATAAAGCACTGTGAGACTTGCTAAATACAGCCACCGTCTCCTTTGTTGCACAGACATCCTTTGGCTCGAACGGTTCGGTGAATACTGAACGGCGAGCCTCACTCGATAGATCAATGCTCAATGTGTGGACGAAAGCCCATGCTATGGGTTTTACTCGACAGTTTAGCTCGATCGAATGATATGTGAGTACTGACCTTAACACAGCAAAATAATATAATAACAGGTTATTCAGAAATATACAACCACTTGCCCAAACAACATTAAAATTAAGGAATCCATTCACAAAGTAATAAGTCCATGGTTCAACTCCATATAAATCTGGTCCGTGTTCAGTAAAAATGTTATATGCAACAATATTCCAAGGAGCCACAACTAGTCTTCCATAATGCCATGAGTCAATAATGACAGTTGGTACGAGAATCACTATCAAAGATATTAGAGACCACTTGAAGAATTCATAGAATTTATTTTTGAAGTAAAGCATGTCTATTGCAATTGGTACTCCGATGAGGGCAGTGAATGGCCAACCTGAAAAAGTTTTAAATATTAGTCAGTAAGATTATGAATATTTTAAAATGCATACAATTATTGTTTTCCCAGAGTGTATTAAAAAAAAGTGTGTGCGTGTAACCTTACATGGACGCGGATGAAGATTGCGTTAACGGGCATATATCACTGAAATTATTAAATATTAACTTAAATAATGTAATATTATAATTTAATTATATTTATTATTCATGTGCTTTACAAAGATTATTCAAATACGAATGTTAGATCATGGATGTCAATATAACCTTGTTATTGCAATATTATAGAATGCTCGCAATCGTCAGAAAATTTCTTATTTATTGTACTTATTTACGTAATAAATCATTGAATTTAGAGATTATAGAAACTTTGAGATTTAAAATATTTTTTTAAACTGTTGAATTTCTTTTATTCACGGTGCTACCTCTTATACAACAAAAAGCGGTCTTTAGATAATTAATTTGCAACTTTACGTCTCTAAAATGGTCAAATACGAAATTAGCTAAAAAATTGCCCGTTTGTATAACAAAACAAGCTAGGATGGGAACCTCCCTCTTTAGTGGAAACCCAATTGGTCATTGTACAGTATGGATTTTGTCTTAAATATAGAGCATAATAACCTATTACACGAATCATTTCAAAAAACAGAATGCTATCCTAAGTAAGACTACAGAAACTTCTTAAATCAGTTCAAATAATGCACTAGATCGCTGACGGACTAAAATCGCGCTATCGTTGTTATTTTTAAATAGCGGAAACTACACAGTCTATAACACAATAATGTACTTCCGTCTGTAAAATCGATTACGTTACTTAGCTTAGCTGCGGGTCGCGTCTGTGCCATTCGAACTACTTAAATTGAATTATTATTATTTTTTTCAATTTTAAAGCCACAAGTTTACAAGATTTAAACTATAAATCGTTTGCAACATTTTATTTTCACGTTTCATATGATTTTTAAAGTATTTTTAGCCATTTTCCTGACTGTACGATAATTTATCGTATATGGATCAAATATACGATAATTTTACGGCCCTGGTACGATAACTGCCTGGCTTCAGGTTGTGAACACTGGTCGCGCCTAAAGAAGTTTTACTTCAAAAACAGCCTCATCCGAAGACTCGTTATTAGACAAGCTCTCTTTATGAGACCCAGATTTACAGTATGTTGCCTTTTTATACATCTTTTTAAGACAGAATGTATGGATTGGATTCGTTTTACTTGGATTGCACACATGTTAGATATGAAATATAAACTTAAGACCCATACTTAAAATGTAGTAGCGGCTGTAAATTCCATACTAAGGAGTCCCCCCCCCCCCACCCGCTGACACAAGACTGAGCTCCAAGCAGAAGCAAATAACTGCTGATGATGAAAAAACGCCAGCAGGCTCCTGACAAATAAACTCAAATACTCCAAACATGCATACGCTCTGAAATAGAAATTTGGGATTTGGTTCTTGGATTAATATAGAGTATACAAAAAATTAAGTAATTTCGAGAAAGAAAATAGAAAATTTGTATATGTATAATGTAATTGCATCTAAATGATAGAAAAAAATAAATAAGGTTTTGCAATTTGCTGTTATTATTTATTCTTGAATTCAATAACAAAATGTTAGGTAAGATACTCACTTATAAAACATAAGTTCAGAACAGGCAGTCAATGAAGCTAGCAATGCTCTCAGTGTATAAAATACAGAAACAGGTGTCATTATGAATGACAGTATTTTAGCTGGAACTGCAAACATCCATAGTGGCATGTATGATCTTATTGAATATTCTGGACTGTATTCCCATGTTTGTAACCCACTTCCATAGACTAAAATAAATAGTTTATATCAACAATGCTACACTGGTAAATTGTTCACTAAATAAAAAACAAGCATTCCTGTTTGCCCCAGGGAATTAAGTTGTAAAGCACTATTACATCTGTTAAACATTCCTCAAAATTATCGTCGAAATGTGAGGTTACTGTGTCGTCCGTAATTATGTTTAAACAGTGAAACATTCGTAAAACGCTTTTGGTCTTCACTCTAATTAGATAAAGTACTGTAATGTATATAAGTTATTTTTTAACCAAAGTGTAAACTCCATGTAACGTCGATTTAACGACCAACCCCCTCAAGTGTCGAAATCACTCGGCTTTGATTGGTTTAGCTTGTCTTCTATACAATGATACACTCTACATAGCATTACACCCACCCTCAATAATGACAACAATTAAATACTAAAAAGTTGCCAAAATTAGTTAAAACTGCGGAGCTGTGTACGTTGTTATGTCGCTTTATTGTTCTAGCGAGAAATGCACTGGATTGTCGGTACTCGTCATACGTACCAAACTTTCCAAGAAATCCATTCTTTTTTTTTAAAAATTGTGCATGCTTTCATGTGCTTTATCACGAAGATGCCTCAATATCACAAGATATGAATTAAATAAGTAAAAAATACAACCTAACTACTGGTACAGTACAAAAATAACAGTCAACACAATTGCGTTCAAATACGAATTGTTTTTATGTAATTACTAACACTAGTCTGAAATTAACTTTCTTTTCCTAATACAGATTTTTCTTTGCATTTAATCTTTGTAACATCAAACGAGGCACAGTCCCTTGAGTGTTATATAGAGTTTACACTGTATTTGCTTTAAATACATAACACAAACATATAAATTTTAAACCATTGAATGGGAAAAAAATTAACTTTCATTTGATATATATATATGTAGTATCCTAGTAATTATAGCTTTTGCTTCTCTTATTTTTCTAAAGTGGATTTTGCTTTTAAGACTTTCTTCCCCTGGGCAAGCGATATACAAATTACTAAAACATGTTTACATGTAAATGGCCTCTAATGAATGCAATAAGTAAAAAACATTTAGAGTCAGAAACATTTAAAACAGAATGCTTACCTAAATAATGCAAAGGCTCCCAATAGTTATAGGTTTCATCACAATCTGCTATATGTCCCCAGTATGCAGATATAAGTCGAGCTGTTAGCAATAGACCTAGTGCAACCATTCCACCAGGGTAGGATATACTACGCAAGTCTGTTGGAGCGTTTGTCACAAGGTACTCTCTAAAGGCGGGATTTCGTTGTTAGTAAGGAACGTTAATAATGTATGTAAAAAAAGTAAATACCTTATTTAAGGGAATTTAAAACGCAAATATATTGTAAGAAGTTTTAATTTGCATTTACCAATTTGATTCTTTCCAATTTTGTACTATATTTATATTATGTTTAGAATTGCAATGTAAAGTAGAACCTAGCGTTTGTATTACATGATAGGTTATGTTCAGAACTATTATACATAATACACAATGAGTATTTATCTCTAAATATAATATAAGTTACCCTTCACTAGATTTTCTAGACCGCTTCCCTTTAGTCATACTAGCCGATCTTTTTGCTCCATTTTTGTTATGAATACTCCGTTGCCTTGCTGTGAGAGGCATTTTTCCTTATTAAATTATTTACATAGATAGTTCACCGTCACAACACAGTTCGATGAAACATAAATGAATATTGAAATCCTATATTTTTAATCCAATGTTTATCCAACACATATTTTTTATTTCTAAAAACTAACTGACAATAGGCATTACCAGCACAGAAGAATACAAATGTCAATTATCATGCTGATTTGATTGAGACAGTGACAGCTCCATTTTGTCCACAGTCACACTGGGGTCTGGGAAAAACTACGATCTATATTCTAAAATTATTTCCAATCCAAATTTTTTGCGGTCTAGCCGCTAATGAATTGATCGCTAGACTCTAGCGATCAATTATGAATCTGCATTTCGATATGACAATCCCTGATTTGAAATCCTTGTCAGTAAAGTTATGGTTTGAATTAGTTTTTGTTTAAGTCGTAATAAATAGATCTGAAAATACTAATAATAAGATAAACTACATTTATTCTAAGAACGAAAAAACTTATTGTATTAGTGTAGTAATGCACGCTGTACCTGGACACCAGTATGGCTGTTAATCCAGATATTCGATTACATCTACTTCATCATTACAAGATAACAATGAAACCAAAGCTCAAATAAGGGATGACAATTCTTCCCGAATAATATCGATTTGAATCGTAAGATATACCAATAATCGTGGTCCATTAGATCGTTTTAAAAATAAAACGATTTATTTGAAAAAATAAATAAACAGCAATCAACAATCCTGTCCTTATTGGACATGTATAACATGATCAGTTATTATTAAGGACAAAGTATGATATACCTTTTCTTCAGACTGAACTTAAAGCTAGTATATATAGTAGATCAAATTTTTAATAATAATATGACATTGGTAAAATACAAAATAAATAAATTCACACTTGACACCACAATTTGGCTATAATAAAATTCTACTGATTTTACTATGATACTATAGTGTAAAAAATTAAATTAGGATTGTTCATCAATCCCACCTAAAAACTGAATTAGAATAATATTTCTATGTAATAGCTTACATTGTATAGTCATAGTCTAGCTATTAATACAATTAAAGAAAATCTATTATGTACATTTCATTCATAAATGCTTATAACATTTTCAAGTTATAGTACATAAAACCACTGACATATACTTACAAATACATTATTTATTCAAAAACTATTATGTTAAAAAAAAACATACAGGTAAATAAAAGTAAAATTTAAAACAGAACACAGTGTATCCTGCAATTAATATTAATATAATATGTAGTTGCATTTATACAGGTTTCATGTCCTATATTTAGGGATCTATTAATTTGAAACTCAGCCGTATTATAAAACAGATAAAAAAGATGGTACTGTTTTATAACCTTGGCAATCTTAAAACACCTTTAAAAAGTTGAGTTCTTATAATCAACATGCTACTACTCTCTATGTCACCACTAATCCACCACTATGTGAAATTGAAATATTATTTATGATTTGCATTGCCTTTCCATCAAGGCTTTAAAAATAGGCTTCCTATTTATGCCTAATTTTTTAACATTCATTTTAACCATATTATTAAATATATAAAACAAACTCATTACTATTTTTATTCCAGTTTTTATAATAATGCCAAATAGTAAAAACAGCCTCACAAAATATGTTCAATGGTACTATAAAAAGTTCAATTAATTCAACCAACTATGACAACTTTTAAAGGACTTCATTTGACTTTTATGAAAAGAACTTATTGAGAAGTACTAAATGGGTTTTATTTATTGAATTATATAACCAAGTTTAATAATTACTCTAAGTTCTAAAATAGATCATGATGAATGTTCTGGTTGAAGGGGATGTGTTGGGTGTGTGTTGTTATAAAATACAAGGCACTGACATTCAACCTTTTAACTTTCTGCATCTAATAAATAAACTTGTGGGTTAACCTAGTCATTTTGCAATAACAATAACAAATAACAATATAAAGGTGCATTATTAAACCTGATCTTAAAATAGAGCTAGGATTACCATAAGGGAGATGTGTTTATACTGGCTCTGTCCAAATAAATATCACTTGTTGTAATTGTTAAACCTCATAGTCTGTTTGTAGAGATACAAATTTCGTATGATCTACTACAACTTAACTGAACAATCTTCAGTTATAGCCTCTAACTACAATCAAGTAATGCACCTTTAACTAAAACTATTTTATATATATTTTCTTCTGTGCGTGTGTATGTGACTGAACTCCTCTCAAACGACTGGACCGATTTTGATGAAATTTTTTGTGTGTGTTCAAGGGGATCTGGGAATGGTTTAGATTCACAAATCAGCCCGGCAGATGGCACTGCAGTCGGTACTTTCATACTTTGCTTAATATCCTAATCGCTTTAAATATCATGCAGGACAACGTCTGTGGGCTAGTATATATATATAACAGGGATGTTATGAAGCTCCGTAACCGTAACCGAAACTATCAGATATCCGAAATAAAAATATATCCCGTTCCGTAACAAGTTTTTGACAGTTTCGGATATTTCGTATAAGGGCGTCTAAAATTTTAAATTTATTGCATTTTTATTTTAATAGATAAAACTGAGGCGTTATATAATAGTGACTGACCTATAAGACCGATTATAATACCAACTGATAACCTAGACTTTATTTAATGGTTTTACCTTTAAATATAATAAATTATTGCATACTACTATTTGTTTTTATATTTTACTTCAATCTAATAACCGTAACTGAAACTATCCGATAATCACAGATAATTCGAAATCAGTAACCATATCCGAAACCGATATAATTTTATTCCTATATCCATATCCGTATCTAGATCCGAAATGTCATATCCATAACATCTCTAATATATACTTTATCCATGAAGTATAAACATTATTTTTTCGTCCGTGTCCTTACAACTGTCCAGCCAGGCTCATCCTCATCCATAGGTTCAGCTGCTATATTACTATTAGAGGTATCATTCATATTACTCGCATCATCTTCACCACTGCTACTCGTTGTATCATCATCAGGGTTGCCATGGCTCTGTAATTAACATCAATGTATAATTTTTTTAATGTGTTAAATCAACAATTTGTTTTGTTCATATTTATATTATTTTTAGATACAATACAGTTTGAGTTTGGAGTTGAGTATAGTATCAGACAAAAAGATGTAAATGTAAATAATACCTGGGGTGGAGCTGATTTATCTGGTATTGGTGCACTCAACCATTTTTGACATTTTGGCATTGCTTCAATTCTATTTCTGAGTTCTTCATGATGACCATCTTTTAATAAATTAAGGAAACTCAAAAGCAGGACTGCAACTTCTGTAAAAATTTATGTTAATATTTACATTTAAACATTATAGTATTTAGGTTTTAATAGTGTGTGCATACCAACTGACCTCTAGGTGAGTTATCATGACATGCAGTCTCAAATTCTTCATCCATCAAATCTTCTAACACTTCAGTTAGTTCATCAGCATCCAAAATATTTTCCACACAGAACCTTGTCACATACACTGACATAAGTTGTGCAGTCTGAAAGATAATAAATCAGTTTTGCTCACAACAGTACATATATTATTTACTTATAAAAATGGGGTTAAGCTCAAAAATGTGCTGCTATTGCAGGGATAAAACATATTGGGGGTTGGACTTTAAAATAGGTCGTCCGAATTTGATAATACTGATTATTTATTTATTTACACTTTGTTGCAAATAAAAGAAACACAATACGTAACAATTATAAGGGATGCAACGGGCGGCCTTATCGCTAAAAAGCGATCTCTTCCAGGCAACCCTAGTTAAAGAGAAAACCTGGTAACGACTTTAAAATCGGTCGCCCGAATTTGATGATACTGATTATGCAGGAGTCTCGGGGGACCTTGATTGGAACACCTCCAAGAGTTTTAAAAAAAAATTAAAGTTTTGTGTAATGTATTGAAATTTGTAAACAATCCGAAAAATGCTAAAAAACAATCGATTAATTTCTTACCGAGAATGTCACATCTCTTATAACCAATAGAAAAGTAGAAAATGTCAGATTGTTTCTTTTTTTTTTTAGGTTTTCGGTATCTGTAGATTTCCTGTACCCTTTGATATCACCATATAGGATCCCGTAGTACAATAATATACGAATATCAGTGTATTTTAGCTGATGTTTACCTGTTTACCGCCAGGAGCGCCCATTCCGTGCTCCACAGCCAGTTGCAAAGCGGTCCAGTTATTCAAAACAATGTCTACAATCGGTTTAAAGTCGTCGAACAACATTTTGTTTTAAAATGTACCAATATGTAGTTGTTATAAAAAAGCCGCCAAAAAAGATAGTCCCTTTTGAATCCGTGAATCGAAAGACGTAAACTTAATTATTTATTTCACATTTTACACACATCGCCATAACCTCAAAAGTCAACACTCAACACTATCTCGGAGTTCGGACCTCGGTGCGAACTCGAATATCAATCAATAAATATATTTTATTAATAATACATCTTCATTCTAGTAAAATGTCACGTTACTGTCAAAAATGTCAGATCACCAAAGATAAAGGTAGTTCATAGCAGAAAGTAAAACAGATATTTATTATTACAATCTTTTTTAAATTACTTTTTTGAACGGCACTTTTTACAGTTGTCAGTTTATTTTAATACTAAATGTAATAATTTAAAAGAGAACTAATTAATAGACAATTAACAAGTAGATTTGGCAACTCAGATTCTATCTAACCGTCAAAGTTTAAATTGTCAACAATTTGTACAAATAGTAAATAAATCGCCCGCGTTCGCATTGCGCTAATGCTTAGTTTAGTGTATAATTTATTGTTATAGAAATGTCTTTTCGTATTTAGACAATCCATAAAAAACGTAGTGACTAGAAAAATGTCGGAGGATATAATTGTGACGTTTATCATACCTAGGGATTTAAAAAGTGAAAATGACTGTTCAGAAGAAATGAAACTAGCTTTTACTGTGAGTACTGTAATATATACATTTTTTTTACTATCAACAACAATACTTTATTTAGTAACATTGGACTGATTGTCTTTTAAGGCATGTGAGCAACATTCCGGTGGAGGCATACATGCTCAGTTTGTGCACGAATCAAAATGGAAAAAGTTTGACGGTCTTACTAAAAAGGATGTGTTCGTCTTAGCAGAGTTTTCTGGAGAGCTATTTGAGCGGCTCCGAGCAACTAAATGCTTGTAAGTACTATTTCCTTATTTCTAAGCGTTGCCATGTCTCAAAATCTTTAAAAAATTACACTGAGAGTTATTAAATTCAATTAATTTGATTATATTGAAAATGTTCATAGTAAAAGTGGTTTAACTTTTAATAATAAATTCTCAGGTTAGTTGGCCCTCGGTGTTTATCATGTTGCCTTACAGAAGGTACTCCAATACCATCTGGGCCAGATCCTGTTTACACAATAGCTATGAGAGGTCTTGTTGTTACAGCTAGTGGATTATCAAAGCCACAGAAGGTAATTATTTACTTGCCAAATAAACTTAAGCAATTACTTAATACATTCTAGAACGTTATTTACTGTCCTTTTTATATATTTCATATTTTTTTAATATCAAGGATAATATTAAGAAGAAAGTCCAATGGATGGGAGGTATCTACAGTACTGTGCTAACAGAAGAGACAACACACCTTGTCTCCGATACTGTGCTCTCTGACAAATATATTGTAAGTGTAATATTTTTTTTTGCAATCTTATAAATTTTTCAAAAGTTTTGGGTTTTAGTATTTGTTTTTAATTTCAATTAGTTTTTGTGAATGGTTAAAGGCTCTCATTCTCGCTTAAATTTAGCAATTGGTAACAAACTTTTGTTTTAACTTTAAAAACTCTATGGTAACTTTTATTAACCTTTCAGAAATCAGTTGAAAAAGGAATACCGGTAATGAGTGAATCTTGGGTTGATGCTGTGTGGGAATCATCACTGCAGCTCAATGTGAATGGATCTTCAAGTGATTTTGATTTCCACCGCTTACCACCATTTACAAATCTACAAGTATGTAATGTTTTATGGTAAAATTTTTTGCTTTGTGTCATGTGCCATACTACCTATTTGGGGTATGGGCCAAACACATTTCTATCTGCTTACCATCCTGTAACAATCATTGATAACCAGAAATTGAGTTTATTGTGTTGCAAATAACAAACCTAGGACCCCTGCACATTCTATCACGTTTACTGAACCATTTTTTTTTTTTTTTTTTTTTTATGTAATAGGAGGCAAACGGGCAGGAGGCTCACCTGATGTTAAGTGACACCGCCGCCCATGGACACTCACAATGCCAGAAGGCTCGCAAGTGCGTTGCCGGCCTTTCAAAAATTGGTACGCTCTTTTCTTGAAGGACCCTAAGTCGAATTGGTTCGGAAATACTTCTGTGGGCAGCTGGTTCCACATAGTGGTGGTGCGCGGCAAAAACTGCCTTAGAAAACGCTCTGTTGTGGAACGACGGACGTCGAGGTGATACGGATGGTATTTTTGTATTTTGCCTTGACGTCCGTTGATGAAACTCAGCTGCAGGTATTAGACCGAACAACTCCTCTGAACACTCTCCATGGTAAATGCGGTAGAAGATGCAGAGAGATCCCACATCTCTACGCAACGCCAAGGGATCGAGCCGCACGGAAAGTGACTGGTCGTCGACGATTCGAACCGCTCTTCGTTGAATACGGTCAAGTGGAAGGAGCTGGTACTGGGAGCTCCCGCCCAGAGGTGAGAGCAGTACTCCATATGGGGCCGAATTTGCGCTTTATATAGTTGCAAGCGGTGGCCCGGAGTGAAGTACCGTCTCGCCTTGCTGAGCACACCAAGCTTTTTGGAGGCTAATTTAGCCTTTCCTTCCAGATGACCGCGAAACTGAACGTTATTCGATATGTCAACGCCCAGTATTCCGATGCTAGCTGAGGCTTTAAGGAGAGTGTCTTCAAAGAGGGGAGTAGCGACAAAGGGACTTTTTTAGCGGAAAACGCGCAAACTTGTGTCTTCTTGGGGTTAAATTGGACTAGATTTAGTCTACCCCAGTCCGAGACTCCACGTAGAAGAGTTTCGACTTTAGACACAAGTTTGTTCCGGTACTCATCGACAACAGCCCGAGAAATACCTGCCCGGCCAGTGTAAAAAGTATCCCCAGTGCTGTCGTCCGCATAGCAATGAATGTTGCTAAGCTGCAACATATCATTGATATGCAGAATAAACAGGGTCGGGGATAGGACACAGCCTTGTGGGACACCAGCATTCACAAGTTTCAGGTCGGAGCATGCTCCGTCGATGACGACTTTGATGCTCCGATCAGCGAGAAAGCTGGAAATCCAGTTGCATAATTTCTCAGGGAGCCCATAGGCTGGAAGCTTCGAGAGCAGTGCTCTGTGCCACACCCGATCGAAGGCTTTCGCTATGTCCAAACTTACCGCCAGCGCCTCCCCCTTGGACTCAATTGCCTCTGCCCACCTATGTGTAAGGTATACAAGGAGGTCACCAGCTGAGCGACCACGACGAAAGCCGTACTGAGAATCGCTAATCAGCTGGTGGCCCTCTAGATACCTCAGGAGCTGGCTGTTAATAATGGTTTCCATTATTTTGGAGAACAAGGAGGTTATAGCTATTGGGCGATAGTTGGACGGATCAGAGCGATCGCCTTTTTAGGGATCGGATGTATCGAAGCGATCTTCCAGCACTTCGGAACAGTGCCGAGCGTGTAAAGGTACCGGAAAAGGCGCGTTAGAACCGGAGCCAACTCAGGAGCACAAGTACGCAGCACAATTGGAGGGATGCCATCGGGCCCGCTCGACTTATGGATGTCCAAGGAAGACAAAGCTTTACGGATAGCACGTTGCCGGAATATAACTTCGGGCATCGTAGTATCACACCGCAATAATGTCGGTGGTTCATTCCCTTGATCATCCAAAGTGGAGTTCGACGCAAAGAGACAGCCTAGAAGATCGGCTTTCTCTTTCGCGGTATGGGCCAGTGAGTCATCCTCCCTATGCAGTGGTGGAATTGAGGGCTGACAGAAATTCCCTTGGACAGCTTTGGCAAGAGACCAGAAGGCTCGAGTTCCCGAAGGGAGGTGGGCCAATTTTTCACCAAATCTGGCAATGTGCTCTGACTTTGCTTTAGTGATTTCTCGCTTGAAGGACCTGGAGGCTGAATTGTATGCTTTTTTACGTTCGCCGATAGTCACATCACAGGATGTCACCGCTTCTGCCCAGGCTTTAAAGCATTCACGCTTACGGCGCAAAGCCGCTTTGCAAGAACGCCTAAACCAAGGCTGGGACTTGCCACCGACCGGCACCGCAGAGAATGGAATAAAAGTTCCATACCCTGCAGGACCACCTCGGCGACAGAGTCAGCGACGGCATCTGGAGTACTCGACGAAAAGCAAATGGGCCCCCAAGGGTAGGACGCAAAAAAGACCGCATCCCATCCCAATCTGCTGACTTATAGTGCCACACGCGGCGACAGCCCGTGAACCTAGGCCGAAGAGGGCGCGTGAACGGCACAATGCTCCGGACCACACAATGATCTGATGAACCCAATGGCGGTTCAACAGAGACTTGGTAGTTCTCCGGATGTGAAGTCAGCAGAAGGTCCAACAAAGAGGGTTTATGACCATCCACATCTGGTATTCGCGTAATCGCAGGGACCATTTGCGTCAAGTCGTAAGCCAAAGCAAAGTCGTGAAAGGATCTTCCCGCATGATCGGTGGTTTCTGAGCCGAGCCAATCGGCATGGTGGGCGTTAAAATCGCCAAGTATCACGATTTCAGCGGTAGGAACCCTTTCGAGCAGGGAATCTGTAGCCATTTGGATGTGCTCAATGAGTCGGTCAGTTTCGGTATTTCCGCTATGGGACCTATACAGGCATGCGTAGAATCGCGGATGGTCATCGCAGTCTACGCGCAGCCAGAGGTTAGATAGGTCCCTTCCTTCAAGCGTCCCGAGGCGACGAGAACAGATATCCTCTCTGACGTACACGCAAACTCCCGCCCGCGGCACAAATGAATGTTCCAATTTGTACCCCGGGTAGGAGAGGTAGGAAGTATCAGCCGGGAGGGATATCTGAGTCTCGGTAAGAAAGAGCAAGGCCGGCTTCGCAGTCTCTAAGTGGTAGTGGACAGCGTTGATGTTGGAATGGAGCCCCCTAACATTTGTGAAGTCCACGGCGAGTGTGGACGGGGGTGCCTTAGTTGAATTGCTCCGTTTGCCCCGAGAACGATTAATGTTTTTTTTACCGAGCGCAGAATTGCCCCCCCAGAATACGAAGGGCAGCCTGTGCGTCCACCACCGGGTGCTGAGTGTCCCGGTGTTGGACGCTCAGAGGGGATTCTCCACCGCGTTCGCGTGTGGTACCCCCTGGGGTAGATTCTGTTTGTTCTGCACCTTCATATTTCATATGGGGGGATGGGCTCCGGGAGTCTCCCTCACCGTACGAAACGCGAGTACAATAAGGCGAACCTATTGCCTCACTTCACGCCGGTTTTCTGAGAGACAGTGGTACTGCCCCGGTCGTGCCTGCCCGTTTGGCTGAAGCCCGAAGGCAACAGCATGGCACTCCCACTAGGAAGGGGTTGACTGATTGCGCTGATGAAATAACCTCTGTCACAGGTTATTTCACCAGTGGGCGATGGGGTCGTCACGTCCCGACGCCAAAGAAACATATGCATTACCATAATAGGTAATGCATATGTTTCCATTTTCGAGATCAAATTTTCTATTGTAACATTATTTGTCTTCTATTTTTAATCATACTTGATGTTTGCAGCTTGTAGTATTTTATAATAAATAAATAAAGTATACAATTGGTTATGTTTCAGGTGACCACCTCAGGGATAACAAAAAATGAGAAGAAGTTGATAATGAAGTTAGTTAATGAGAACGGTGGTGTCTATTCTGGTCCATTCCAAAGTGAGAGTACAGATGTAGTGGTTCTTACCAAGTAAGTATTTTACATTTACAAATTTCTTAAAGCTTTTTATAGAAATTATCGCTCCCCATAATTTCGTGACACAGTGTCAAACGACGTGATAACTGAAATCCCCATTTTAAGGTACTCTTTTGATGTTCAAATAAATTGATTAGATAAATTTTAAAAAAGAAATTATATTCTATACCCCATACTGCTAGAGTAAGTCTTTTAACCCACGAGTGTATAGTCATTTAGTTTATTCTTTGTAGCTATGTAGCATGATGGGCATAGATAAACTGTGGAACAGTTTCCATGCTCGACAAATAATGTGGTTTTAATAATAAAAAAAATCATTAACAATATTGGCAAGTAAAGGTTACAATGAACCTTACTTACCAATACATTATAATTACCTTTACAATCCATAATGTCAGAGATAGATGCATATAATCTTAAAATAAATGAAGTTTGACCCCGTAAGTCAAAAACAGTATTGGATTGGACATATGGGAATCATTTTTAGCGCTTAGTCTCGACTCTAAATCTCACCCTATGCAATGCAATCAGAACTGACTCTTACATACAATTTGATCAATGCTATTTTAAAATTAAATTGATTTAAAGGGATGGAGTCGGCAGCGAAAAATACAAGGCAGCGTTAGAATATGGAAAAGCGTGCGTTCTACCATCATGGGTTATTAATTCCGCGGAACGCGGTGTGGCATTACCCCTACATAAGTATAAGGTGACTGGGGCTTCAACATCTTCGCCTTTGGCTGAACATCGCTTGCCTGATATGAGTAAGATATTGAAATGATTAATTAAAATTAGATCAAATTTAAATTTTGTAAACTCAAACAAATTATTAATGCCTAACACACAAACTAATATGCATTCTGCGAACTAATGATTTACTGGCATATCTATTTTGAAAGACCACCATAATTGAAGTATATATACTAAAAATTATATTGATTAAGGTAAAAACATTTTTAGGTTTAAACTTTTCTCGTATAACAAACTTGAGACAGCCGATGAATTTTGTTGACGAATCTAGAGCAGCGGATGTTACCACATCCTCTGGAAGATTTAAGGTAATCAATAAGTTGTTTTTAAGGGACATAATGATGTTTTATTATTGCAAATTGAATGAAATCAATGTTTCTATAAATTTTTAGTTATCACAAGAGACAAGAAAAACCGATACATCTATGGACAAACAGATCGTGGAAGCTTATGAGAAATTTGATTTGAGTAAAATCAAGAAAGCTGGTCCAATATTTGATGGATTTTGTGTATGTATATCGTTGTTTGTATCTAAAATATTTTGTCTCTTCATAATTTTGTAATTTAAATACATATATTATGTTTAATAATATCTAACGTCGCATCCTCTTTTTTGTAAAAAAATATATTTTATTTCATTGTTTTGATGTAGCAAAATGGGTATTGGGTACCCATTTTGCTACATCAAATTGTGTCAAAAAAAAACTTAGTCAAAATGATTTAATAAATTAAATCATTTTATCAACTTTACATAACAACAATCCATTGTGGTTAGTAATTATAACTTAGAAACTAATTTTAGTACCTTTAACCAAAAAAATAATTAACAAATAGATGTATGCGAACCCGCTTAAAACACAAAGCGAGAAGAATTTAATTCTTTAATCTATATATAAAGTATGTAAGTATTCAAACGTCATATTTTTAGATATGGCTAGTAGGCCTCGAAGGCATTTGTCGTGAACGTGCAACTGCGTGCGTGTCACGTTGCGGTGGCGTACGATACGATTGTCCGCACGAGAGAGTTACGCACGTAGTGGCCGGTACGAAGATAGCTGGTACCGCGGCTTTGGCTGCATTGCCCAATGTACCTGTGTTGACTGCGATGTGGTTATTGGCCTGTGTTGAGGCTGGAAGGGCGCTCGATGAGGCTGAGGTAAATATAATAATATTGACTTTTCCCTCTGCTTGCTACGTCATGCCTGGACTGTTTCACTGCTTTCTATCTGATTGTCTATGTTAACGATTGTTTTTTGTTTATCCTGCATATAAGTTAAGGGTTTTTAATCTAAATTATACTGAGTTTGAAATACAAAAACACACTAGAATGAGATGTAAACAATTGTAGTGTTTAAAAGGCTTTTGATAATGCATTTCTGAGATCTAATATATAGCATACGACATAAATAACAAATTCTCTTACTACTAACTAATAAACTAACTAAATAATAAATGGTCCTTCAATCCGGAATATGAACCGAATTTGTTTATTTTTCAGTATGTAATGAATATCAAAATGGCCACGCCCAAAAAGTCAAAGAAAGTGCCAATAGAACCAGCATCGCCGATGAGTAAACGCAACTTACAGTTATTACATGAGCCTCTAAACCTACCGCCGCCTGAACCAGAACCGGAACCGGATATGGAAGATGACCTTGTTAATCATTATTTAAGTCGTAAGTATATTATATCGCAGTTATAATATGCTTTCTTATAATTCAGATCAACTGCTAATGACTCAACACTACAGAACAAAATAACATTGGTCATAGTAAAATATACTTTATAGCACAAAAATAAAGACGCGATTAGAATTCACTAAAATTATAATATAATTGCCTTGATTACGTCTTGCCTCCGTGTCGAAGTTTGTTTAGAGTTTATTTCAATACGTTTAATTGCGAGTTATAGAATAAAATTTAATTAATTATTGTTTTGGGTGTACTTAGCACGAGTATATGTAAATCATGGTAACCTTCGATTTTATATGAAAAACTTGATCAGCGCTCCGTGGACAAATTTTGAACTAAACGGATACATACTTCGAATGTTTTCGTGTATAAAATTTTTGTTTTATTTAATGATTGATTTCAGAAAATGTACTGGAGCCAAGAGAAAAAACTCCGGAGCCAGTAAGAGATGATCCTGTACCTGAAATTACTGACGATATGGTAGATGAACCAACTGAAGAGATTGAACAAATATTTAGTGGTAACTACCGGTCACTTTCAGCAGTTCTCTATTCCTGATTTCAGAACTGGCAATACATTTTATATTTAGATTTTTTTGTAGCATAACGATGTTACTTCCATAGATAAATTATGGTAACCATGGTAACACACAACATTCCATCTTTCAAAATTTAAAACGAGCGGAAATAATTGAAGCTACCAATACTTTTTAAATTTCGAATTCTGTTTTCATTTATTTTAAGTAACTTAATTTTATAGGTTTGAAAATCGAAGTCCAGGGCTTGGAAGAGGAGGCGATAAGTGAGTTAGGAGCGGAGATTTCAGCAGCTGGGGGGTTGTTAGTGGCTAGGGGCGGAGGGGGCCAAGGGACTTATCGCCTTGTGCCCCTGGACTGGGAATGTGAGGACGAAGGGGTCGAATATGTCACTGTCTTTTGGATTGTGAGTATTATACGTGGTATACGTACAGTATACATAAATATACTCCATTTGAGTCGCTAAATGGATGTTTAGTGCGTCAAGTCAAGTCAAAATTTAGTCATAAAGGTAACACAATGTACACTTATGAACGTCAGAAAAGAAATATACATTAAATGCTTCTAATTTTACATTTACTGCCAGTTCTCAAATCAAGGGCGTAGAACGGAAGAGAAGAACTGGCAATAACTATCGCCACTCTTTTACGCCTGTAAATGGGGTTCCCTGAAACGTGTACCCCGTTTTCAGGTGTTTTCACGTTTTAGTGTTTTTAGAGCACGGATTACATGTATTTTTGTTTAATTAGCTATTTAGCTATGGGTGTTATAAAAAACTCGCTATTTACACAGATTTAATCACGGTGTTAAGTGATTTTAATTCGTTTCCACAAATAATATAAAATTTGTTTAGTTTTAAAGTTTTAATTTTGCATTGCTGTTTATATAAAAATCTTTAAGGTACCTTATATTAGGTCCTTACATATGAAATTGGCGTATTTCGTACTGGCCACTTTAACCACAATGTTCTCCTCTTTGGTAAGGAATTCCAAATTCAAATTTGTACAGCTATTTACTCATGTATTTGTGCTTCGATGACCGTCATTCATTTGTTTTTTTCTGTTTGCGTCACTCATTTTACAAAATTGAAAACTTAAAGTATCGCATTATTTATGAGTACGAGTTCCGCCGTGGCACTAGTGCTGCGGAAACGACTCGAAGGGTGAATGATGTGTATGGCGGTCATGTTGCAAAAGAAAACACAGTTCGTTTTTGGTTCCAACGTTTTCGTTCTGGAAATTTCGACCTGCAGAACAAGCCCCGTGGACAGCCTGAGACCCAAGTTGATAATGAAGTATTGAAGGCTATTGTGGAAGCGGATCCATCGCAAACCACGTCCGAGTTAGCTGCAGGCTGCGGTGTTAGTGATAAAACTGTTTTAATTCACTTGAAGCAAATTGGGAAGATTAAAAAGCTTGAAAGATGGGTACGTCACGAATTGACTGAAGCAAACCGGCAAACGCGCGTCGACTGCTGCGTTACATTACTGAACCGGCACAATAATGAAGGTATTTTAAACCGAATCATTACCTGTGATGAAAAATGTATTCTTTACGATAATCGAAAGCGCTCAGCGCAATGGTTGGATCCTGGCCAGCCAGCCAAATCCTGCCCCAAGCGAAAATGAACCCCAAAAAAGTTACTTGTAAGCGTTTGGTGGACTAGTGCCGGTATTGTTCATTGCAGTTTTCTCAAATCTGACCAGACTATTACGGCTGATGTCTATTGTCAGCAATTGCAAACCATGATGGAAAAGCTAGCGGCTAAACAACCTAGGCTGGTCAATCGCTCCACGCCACTGCTACTTCACGACAACGCTAGACCACACACTGCACAACAGACGGCTACCAAATTAGAAGAGCTTCAATTGGAATGTCTAAGACATCCCCGTACTCCCCGAACCTTGCTCCAACAGATTACCATTTTTTTCGAAATTTGAACAACTTCTTGCAAGGGAAAAAATTTAACTCTGATGGGGCAGTCCAAATCGCCTTCACAGATTTTATTGATTCCCGTCCGACTGTTTTTTTTTTAGTAAAGGGATCAATGAACTACCTATGAGATGGCAAAAGTGCATAGAAAACAATGGTTCATACTTTGATTAATTAAATATATTATATTTAAAAATATTCGATTTTTGTTCCTCCCATACAAAACGCCAATTTCATATGTAAGGACTCTAATATATAAACCACGGAAAGAGTATCTGGTCACCCTACAACAAAGGGACGTCCTTAATGTAGTTTAATTTAATGTTTTTTAAATAACTAAATAGAAAGGTTTCCTAAGAAAGCTTTTACTGGGAAAGTGGAATTCGGAATAGACCTGGCGTCGACGATTCGATTATCGTTTGTTTACTATGAGCAGCGATGTTATATTTTCAATATTACGTGTAAGAAGTACGCCGTTACTTAATACGAGTTACGAGTATAAAAACGATTCTACAATGACGTAAACAAAATTTGTATATGAAACATATTGTTACGAGCGCTCAACAGAAGTTTATTGTGTACTTTATAGAATTAAGAGAAATTTTTTTAACTAAAATCGCATTACGCGCGTTATGAAAAACCGAATGAGAGTAAATTTTACGCCGAGTTGCGCGCGCACCTTGACACACAATGCACTGCTGTATAGCGCGAGAAACGACGGATGAATAATACAAACTTCATGTAAAAAGATTGTAAATTTATAACTAATACATAACTTTCAATCCGGTCAACAAGAGTTTTTTATTACCATGACCAGTTTACATCTACAATCGACATTTACCTTTTGAAAATATGGACTTTTAATTATTGTTTAGAATTCCTACTTATCATACCTAGTTAGTTTCATTATACAAAATATTTGTCAAATAGTATAAAATATTTCTGAAAAACTGTGCTAACTCTGAGTGCTACCCTACAATTCGTTAACTATCCGTATGTATTATCGCGTATTTAGTGTTGATTAGAGACTGAAACATGAACCATTATTCATTGCTTTTGTTTATTGCGTTTGTTACAGCTACTGGGTTTTAGAAAATTCGTAACACTATATTTATCAAGTAATTGAGAACAAAGATTTTAATCACGTTACAAATAATATAAAATTTGTTTAGTTTTAAAGTTTTAATTTTACATTGCTCTTTCATATCAAAATCTTAAGGTACCACATTATTTATCAAACCACGGAAGAGTATCTGGTCACCCACAAGCAAAGGGACATCAACAATTTTGTATTATGAAAGTACACTAAATTGAAAAGAGTTTTCTATGAAAGCTTTTAACTGGGAAAGTGGAATTCGGAATAGACCATGACGTCGACGATTCGATGGTTAATCGTTTGATTTACTGGATGTGTCGAGCAGCGATGTTATATTTTCAATATTACGTGTAAGAAGTACGCCGTTACTTAATACGAGTTACGAGTATAAAAACGATTCTACAATGACGTAAATTTGTATATGATATGGCTTGGCGTCCAACAGAAATAATAGTGTACAAGAATTAGTTTTTTTTTGTTTACAGAAAGATTGTTTAAGTCAACAAGAATTACTTCCATTGCAATACTACCATCGACCTGTGACGGTACCCGAGTCTGGCGGTGAACCACTAAATGGGGTAGTGGCCTGTCTAAGTACATATAGTGGAATTGAGAGAGCGTTTTTGGATGAATTGGCCAAGCTACTTGGTGCTACGTGAGTATTTAGTACTACGTGTTTGCGTGTTGTTCCAACATTGTCCTAATTCATCGTGCCTTGTTTGGTTTTCTTATTTATTATTTTTATGTCACAATAATTAATTTGATTGACATAAATTAATAGTGATGAGGACCAAGATGTAATGGTTACAGGTACTTTCAAACATTTTGAAAAAAATCTTGGCAATTTAAAAGACGAAGAGTTTATCGCCAGTTCTTCTCGCCTGTTTAACGCCTTTGATTTGAGAACTGGCAGTGAATGTAAATTACTTAACATTAGGTGCCTCCTGCCCGTTTGAGAGCAGGGGGCTTTATTTAAAAAAATTTAAATTTATAAGCATTAAGTTTTTTCTGACGTTCGTAAGTGTATATTACCTATTTGAATAAATGAAATTTTGATACCAAAAATCAAAATATCAAATATTCAAATACATTTAAAACAATATGACACATTCTTTTAATACGTCAAGTGGAGCATATTGTAAATTTGGATCATTGTTTTTTAATATCTAACTTCATAAGCGATCATCACCTATAATATATGAATAAATTTGATTAACGGGTACCTGTTAGTTATAATAGAGATTATAGGCATATTTCATGAACGTTAGGACAATGAAAAAGTATCGCTAAACTATCACTATCTCTTTTTTTCATAACAAAAGACAACTAGTCAGAAAGAGTCACTTGATTTTGGACTACATATTGAAACAAAATCTGGAATTAACTTCAAAATTCAATTTTACAGAACCCAACTCCGTTTCTGTCGACGTAACACGGCGAATGCCCAAGCGTCAACCCATCTTATATGTCCCACCCCAAGTGGGGATAAATATTTAGGGGCATTAAAGTGGGGTCTTCCCGCAGTTACCGCTGAGTGGCTCCTAGCTTGTCTTGAGAAAGGGAAGAGAGTCAGCGAAAAACCTTATCTCATTGGAGATACTAAGGGTATGCATTCTTGAATTTATTTTCTACTATCAATCAAATAGTTGGATTGGGATTATAAGCGACTAAAATAATTTTAAAATATTAATTAAACCTGTAAATATACCATGTGTGCCCCGATCTTTCAACTGTCTTAATTCGGTAGTTGCCTTAACTTATATAGCCTCCCTCAATAAATGGATGATCCACTATTTTGTCAATTGTCAAAGTGTGTAGTTTGATCCAACTTAAAAGATAGGATAGCTTACATCTCAATTTATACCCGCAATATTATTTTATTGCAAATATTTGTTTATTATTTGATACAATTCGAACAGATGGCGCTGTGTTAAAAGTACCAACGTCTCACATAAGCTATCGACCTTTCACATAAGTTCTCCTACCTTAGCCACAGCAACACTTGGCCGATTTGCTAGTTACTATATAAAAAATAAATCAGTGGCGCTACAACCTCTTTAGGTCTGGGCCTCAGATAATTCTCTGTTTCACTATAATTTTTCAATCTAATTGGCAAGGAGGTGATCAGCCTCCTGTGCCTGACACATGCATCGACTTTTTGGTTCTAAGACATGTCGGTTTTCTCACGATGTTTTCCTTCACCATTTGAGCGAATGTTAAATGCGCACATCGAAAGAAAGTCCATTGGTGCACAGCCTAGGATTGAACCTACGACCTCAGGGATGAGAGTCGCACGCTGAAGCCACTAGGCCAACACTGCTCTAATTATTATATAACCGTTTATATTATTTGTTATGTTTAATCATAACGTTCCCAATACAAAAAATTGGCTACAGCCAGAACTTATGTGCATGCTTCTGTAAAGGCGATATAAATTTATTATAATTTTAGCGCCACCTACACCTGAAAAACCGGAACCAGAAGAGACCGAGATAAATATACAAGTATCACTGCAGAAGGAAAGAGACAAAGATAATGACATGCTTCCTCCTGCTGAAAGTCATGTTCCGAGGCGCTCATTACAAAAAGACGAAACACCTAAAGCTAAATGCAGTGGTGAGTGTTTATTGTATATAGAGTGAGTTTAAACAGATGCAGGGTTTACTTAAGAATATATTTAATTTAAAAAGTTTTGTCCCTATGCATTGTTAATGTTTATCCAGATTTTTACCCGGATACCCGGCTACTATACTCTGATTTTTAATTCGGTAGAATTCTACAGCTATCAGTTTTTGACATGTCAGAGATGGCAAACCTTTTTGGCCGGGCACATTTTTCAATTTCAATACGAGTCTGAACATCTGAGACAATCGTACGTCTTATTTGTTAGTGAATGTACCACAAAGAACGGTTCGGTGGCCGTCGATACACAATTCATATTAAAATAATAAGTCCTGACTGAGTACATACCTCGTAATAATGTTTCCTTACAGGAAGATAGGCACACAATATTATCAGCCGTAAAAGTGCGCTTACACGAGGGCAATAATTGCTCGACAACACGAATGGACCGATCTGGAGCAATTAATGGAGCAATTTCAAGAAATTCAATAAATTTCAATAAATTATTTCGGCGATATTGCTTCTAATTGCTCCAGATATTTCATATCGCTCAATGTTTCAGATACGAATTGACGAATATCCAATGGACTTGGAAATTCCTAGCAATTTTTGTATATATCTCATTCGCACTTGTTTGTTTTGCGGCTTGCCGTCTTGCTTGCGGGGAGAGCGAGAGGTCGGGTGGAAGTAGGATAGCGCGCGGCAAGAGTCGAGCGCGTAGTCAGCCTGTTTGTTGTGTTATAAATAAATTAAAAATAATAAATTAAAATAAAAGTTAAGTTAAGTTGTAATTTATAAATAATATATTTTATAATTATTTATAAATTACAACTTCATTCTGTTTTGGTTCACACAACGGTGTTCCTTTTTTTTTACCGTCTAGTCAAACATAGCCAACAGCTTGATTATTTTATGTCGTATTTTTTAATTGATTCATTTGGAATTTTGCAAAGCCGAGTAAATGTCCGTAATAATTACAGTGCGCTAATTAACTAGCATTCAGCGTAAACATTGGAAATGAAATTGAACTGTTTCCTCGTAACATTATATTTTTGTTTTTTTTTTGTTTTGACTGCATTTTAAAATGGCGTCGTCTTTGTCGTGGAATAATGAAAAGATTATTAACTTTATTGATGCAGTTCGCTTGCATCCTTGTAATTCAAAGTCTGTTCGTGACATTCTAGTAAAGTTTTTGAATAATATATCATCTAATTTTTTACATAATGAAAATTTTGTCCTCTTTGCCAAAAACTATCGCACCCAGATACGCCTATTCCTTTTCTTTCTTTTTTGTTTTTGATTAATAATAAAAAAAAGCACTACAAGCCGCCGCAGCAATAACAATGTCGTCCATAGCGAGCGAAAACTGAAATGCTCGTGTATGACAGTATTGCCTAGTTGATGAAGTTGCGCCATATCGCTCAATATTGTATTGCGCAGTATTGATGCTTGTTGCCGTTGCCGTAAATTGCTTGATGTAGTCGTGACGTCATAATTGACGAGTATTGACTGGAATTGAGCAATTTTAGTTGCCCGTGTAAGCGCTCCTTAAGGATTTGGATTAGTTTTAGTTTGGGCACAAAAAGAGGTTAGACTGATGATGATTGATACCTTGCCTCATAATAGTTCCACGCACTAAACACTCACTATCAAATTCTAAATAGTGGACGTATCTATAATCAACTATAATTAACAAAAAGTATATATATGTATTATCCAAATAAATAAATTGTGCGTGTACTAGGTGTACACACGTAAGAAGTGAAACTTCTTTATGATCTTATTTTTCGAAAAATGATCTACTATATGCAACTTTACAGAAATTCGTTAAATTAGATAAAGTTTAACAAAAGGCTTTTATTATTATCATAGACATGAATACAAATATTTCATTTTACCTTATTACTACGAAGATTATTATAGAATTTCATTAATTGTAATAGAATTATTACTATCATTGAAAAACGTGACGATTTGCTACAAAATTTCTCCCATACGTCGATAAAGAAGTTTCATTCCAACGCCGATAAAGAAGTTTGACTTCAAAAAGCAACATGGCGCGTAACCGAAAAATGTGACGCGTAACGAAAAAATGTTACACTAAATTTTTTTCCAACCTCGATAAAGAAGTGAAACTCAAAAATGCTAGATGCACTAGAACACGTAACCCGAAAGAATCTCAACAAAAGACTATCAAAAAAAATGTGTCGATCGGCCGTGTGTAAATATTTGGCATCACCCTCATCAATTTTATAAAATTAATATAATGTATTTCGAACAGTGAATGTATCCATTTTATTAAGCATGGTGCTCCACATTAAAAATGGTTTAACGGCATCATCATTCATCACAAACAGTAAAAAACGCACAAGTAAAGATAAAATTATATTTTTTAAAAAGGTTAACTAAACCTGGAATTAGTAGGCAGTGATGCCAGCTAAAGAATAAAATAAAGTAATTAAAGTTAATTCGTTATATTGTTCGTGATATGGAAATATTTGTTATTTTTGTATTAGGCCACTTGAGTAAGTAAATATTTAGATTTACACTTTTGTAGGTAAAACAAAAAAAATACCTAGTATGTTTTTTATTGCCCTCAAATAAGTCAAATTTGTTACTTATTCGGTGAAGAACTTTTTAAGAAGCAACACTTGTGAAATTACAGTAAATCTTTTTACTGTAATTTCACAACCACACACACATCAATTAAAAATCAGAGTAGAAAGTTTAATAAAATAGATCAAATCATCTCCTAAAATTATTTATTTATATAATTTATGATCGATCGTTTAAAGATGGCGATGACATGTCACCCGCTTCAAGATACATCGCGATGGCTCGACAGGGCTTACTCGGGGGTGACTCACAGGAGACTCCAAAGAGACCAAATGATTCGCTAGACTTGGACAAACAAGGTATACATTTTATTGAACATTGTGAATCATTATGAAAATTTTTTTTCTTTATTATGTGTAAACTTTTTTAATCATGATGATGAGAAATAAACATTTTTTAACACGCCAAAAAAATAGTAGTGCGCAGTGTTTATTTGGCCTAACGTGTACGCTTGCTGTTGACACAGGCAAGCCTTGTGACCACAGCACTTACTTTCAGTGAGACCATTGATATGAACGTACAAAGGATATTAAGTATAAATAAATTTATTTGAGAGCTTACCTCACGAAAAATTAAATTTTTAAATTCCTGCTGGATTTATTGAAGTTAAACATTTGTCTTGATTAACGCAGAATCGCCGAAAGTAATCAACAGAAATACTAAATATTTTTCAATTAATGGGAATGGAAAATAATTGTCAAAATAGATATGGGGATGGGTACAAATTGGTTTTGCCAAAAATTACAAAATAAACAGAAATTTAAAAATAATTAGACACTAGATCGTTTAAAAAACCGACTAAAACAATTACTTTTGAAAAAAATATTTATTAATGGGTAAATGGTTAATTAATAATATTGTAATTTATATCAATTCACTTTGGCTAGAATCTGCAGGTTCTAACTGAATCTGGATTATTTTTGAACCGCCCATCTGATTGGAGAAAGGGCTTTATGTTAGCACTTAGGTTAGGCACGTAATTAAGACTATGTAATTTTACATTGTAATATGTAAGAAAATATTGCATTATATGTCGCACATAACGTTACGTGACGTTAGAAATTCCATACAAAAATTATATGAGAAAAAAAAAGCAAGGAAAAAAACACACACAAAAGGAAGAAAAAAAATTATGGCAAAAACGAAACCGTATAAACCTTTAATTGTACCGTCTATGTATTATTGTCATATTCTTGGCAATAAATAATTAATTAATGTTTTTTTAGTACTAAAAAATATGTTCTTAAGAATGTGCAGTCCGAACTCCGCCGCTAGACGACGCGCTTTCCACTCCAAATCTTGCTAACTTCAGTCCTACCACACGACGTCGGCTGCAAGCTGTGAAGAGAGGGGAGATGCCTTCCGACCCAGTTAGGACACCGGTTGATAACTGTAAGTATTTTTACGGTTATATGCATTGATAATAATAAAATACACTCTTAAAAAAACATTCGAAATAAATAATAAAGAAAATATAAAAAAGCCAGTTTTTGTAGGGAAACAGGAGTATTTGTGCGGTTTGATTGTTTTTTTTTTACGCCAGTTATCAAATCTCTGACCTGCGTTAATCAGCAGTTTTAAAAGAAATGCAAACAATATTACTAAGCTAAAAAGTCAAACTACTCGAATAAGTGATTTACTGTGTGTCTTAAGTGCTAAAGAGTGGTTAGTGGAAAAAACACACAGACATACAGAACAGACTGTCTTCCCTTTAATAGTGACTGTAAGTAGTGTTATTGGACACTTGCTTATATTAAATATCTCTTTTAGTAAATTGGGTTAGACTAAAATTATAAGTAATAAGTTAAGGCTAAATCGTAATGTTAAATAATATCTCAGTGAAGAGACCATTTATAAATAAAAACTAAGCTAAAATTGGGTGACTTATACTCCGATTTTTTATTCCGTAGAATTCTGAAATTTCATAAGTGTTGCTACTTTGACCCATTTGAGGACAATACAAAATAAAATGCTACGTATTTTTATGTTGTACCTACAAAAAGGTTAATCTAAATACATATTTACTTACTCAAGACCTAATTCAAAAATAACAAATATTTCAATATCACGAACAATATGTCGAATTAACTTTATTTTATTCTTTAGCTGGTATCACTGCCTACTAATTCCAGGTTTAGTGAACCTTTTTAATAAAACAAAATGTTATCTTAACTTGTGTGTTTTTTACTATTTGTGATGAAAAGGGACGTAATCATCACTCGCCGTTAAATCACTTCTTAAATGTATACATTCACTAACAAATAAAATATATGTATAGACTCAGATGTTTAGACTCGTATTGAAATTGAAAAATGTGCCCGACCAAAGAGGTTTGCTATCTCTGACATGTCGAAAAATGATAGCTGTGATTCTACGTAATTAAAAATCAGAGTATAGAATCATATTCTTTTTAATTTTCAGTTGCCAAAAACATAGCAACACCAGATAGTGGGTTCGGAGCGGCTCTGAGACCTGGTTCTGGTCGACTTTCTCCCGAAAATAGAAAGCGATTATGGAAAATCGTTAACGACCTGCCATCTAAACAAGACACACCTACTGATAGACAGCAGACGGTGAGATATTCATTGAAAAAACATTTAATTCATCAAACAATTTTAAATATAGTGTAAAATTGTTCACTTGACGTTTGTTACTTTGACAATTCACTTTTGTTAGTGGTTCAACTTATAAACGTCAACGTCAGGTGTTATGAAAGGTGCTAAGTAATGTCATGATCTTGAATCAATTCCGAATATCATCATATGTAATCAAATAAAAAAAATCAAATATTTCAATTAAATTTTTAATTCATATTTTTATTATTTTATCTATTTCATGGTAGATTTTTCAAATCATGGTAAATGTTTCTTTAAGTTTTAATGCAATCCAAAACTAATAAAGAATTATGATAACAATATATTTACTAACAAAATACACAATATTTTTAAGAAAGGGTAGAAACTTTAATGGATCAATCTTCAAAGATTCTAGCCTTTTTAGCGTTTTTTTCGTTTTTGTAATTTTCAGTTTATAATTTATTCTCTGTATTAAATGCAATTTTAAGTTTTTGGTTAAAACACATTTTGTGACATGTTTAATTTTATGATAATTTTCAGCCATTATCGGAGATCAGAAATCGATTCCTGGCGCAATTCAATGGTAGCTCAAATACGCCTACCGCCGAACAAAGTGTACCCACAGCGAGGAAGTTACATTTGCAAGTATGGACCTACACCTATTTTAGCTCATGAATACCTCGATATCTCTTTTTGTATTAAGACGTTTAAACTATTACCTATAAAATTATTTACTAAATTAAATTTTGTAATAAATTATTGTATATTAATATTTTTTTTACTAGGCTAGACCGTCCATAGTTTTTTTTGATAATCCATTAGATTTATATTTCTGCTGTTGATCTAAATAAATTTATTTAGACGTTTATTTTACTATAGTACATTATAATATTAAATATCTAACTAGTGGACCCCACAGACGTTGTCCTGCATGATATTTAAAGCGATTAGGATATTAAGCAAAGTATGAAAGTACCGACTGCAGTGCCATCTGCCGGGCTGATTTGTGAATCTAAACCATTCCCAGATCCCCTTGAACACACACAAAAAATTTCATCAAAATCGGTCCAGTCGTTTGAGAGAAGTTCAGTCACATACACACGCACAGAAGAAATATATATCGACGTAGGAAAGCATATTTGCTGTAAGTAGACATATTGCAATTGTTCACCAGAGCCAAAAAACTTAATTAATTTCGGAAAAAAATTAATAGTGTCGAACCTATCCATGATATTGCTACCATTTTTGAAACATATATTTATTTAACTGCCAGTCACCATTTGCAATGTAAACTTTTTATCCAAAGTTACTATAAGTACGTGTTTGGCTAGTTACAGCATACAGTTTTTTAAATCACAAACCTTTAAAACGCTGTAACTAAGGAAGAAAAATGTACGCGCGGAAATATTATCAATTTACAGCCGGTAAATATGCTGTATGCAGTAAATTTATGTATTTGGGTACTTTCAATTGCAATTCAAGATGTAAGATTAGTTTATAATTATGATTAGATCTAGAAATGCAGTGGGTCATTTGGTAATGTAATGTTTGGTTGTAATAACATGTCGTAAATGGTAAAAAAAAACTAAAACTGTAGGTTCCCTAAGCTTGCTATAAGTAAACTAATGTAAAAATCACACGCCGCAGAAATGCTGTAAGTAGCGTTAAGTTTTTAAATGGGAAGAAGTAAGTATTTGTAAAGTAAAAAATGGAGATTTTCTTTTGCTGTAAGTACAAATTGTCTAAAATGACTGGATTTTGGTCTACATACAGCATTTAATCTTACTAAAAAAATATAAGTACGGGCGTTTTCAACCGCGTATGTAATTTTTTTTTCATCGTAGAGACACAGGACTCGGGACATTCGATGCGGTTTTTTTTTCTGATTCTAATGGCAGTAAAAAGTCACTTTAGGTATTTTGTCTACATACAGCAAATATGCTTTCCTACGTCGATATATTAAGATTTAAAGTCATACGTTTTGGAATGCTATATATAATAACACTGATAGAGTTATGTTAAGAGAGTAGAACGTACGTTCGGAAACAGAATGTGTTTTTTTTTTAATAAACCTTTAAGGTCCGTAATATAGAACTTCAATCCAATCAAACTTAAATATATGTAATTTCAAGAGCTTTTAAACCATTTTTTTGTATCATGTTTGATAGAGCTCAATCCGAGAATGTTACTTGAGATACGAGTTAGAATATGGCTTTCATTTTCAGGATGACGTGGAGACGCCGCCTTCTAAAATGGCCAAATTATGTCATAATCAGGTATTTTTATTATTCAATATATTTACAGATAACAACAAATATGTTAGTGTGTCAATTTTTAATTATTTTTAATAGAAAACGAGATTTAATTGTTTTAAGTGCTTGAATATGCTCTGTGGTGTCGTCACTCTTCAGGCACCAAAATGATTTTTGCTGCCCCTTTAAATAGTACAATAAAAAAGATGCATAAGTGACGTGCAGAGTGAACAGTTTAAATAACACCCTGTATAGGATTTTAACCAAAATTTCTGTTTATAAAGTTCAATTATTCGAAGATGGATTCTAATTTAAATAAATATGGCTACCATGATTAACCAGCCTGTATAAAGTCGATCAATATTACAGAGTCCCAGTGCGTCTAGTATGGATTCCAATGAAAGCAAAAATAGTATACCGGGAGTCGATGCCCAGCTGCAAAGGCTCAGTGCTGCCCTCAGTTCGAGGCTTAGTTCACAGCGGACCAAAAGAACTAGGGATTCTGTTAGCCTCGCTGTACCTGGTAAGAGAAATTTTTAAGAATTACTCAAGGGTCTTTTTTTGGAGAAGATAGAGATGTTAAACATTGTTATAGTAATTTTTTGGTCAATTTTTGATTGATTAGATTTGATTATTATTTCTTATATAACGTTTCTAAATTGATTTTTTTATTTAAAATAAAGGAGTGTCCAATTCTGAAAAGGCCGGCAAGATCTCTGGCATTGCGAATGTCCATGGGCGGTATAAAAAAAATTGTTATGTAATCATGGAAAAAAATTGAAACTTAATTCGTATTTAATTTTAATTCGGTACAAGTTTATCATGCAAAAATAGTTAGGTACATAGATTCTATTGAATTGAGAACAAAATATTTAATAGATAAATAATAAACTAAATAATCACTAAATGAATAATCCAGGTCCAGAAGTGGAAACTGGACCAGAATCTCAGCCGAATACAGTGGGATGGGACGACACCACGCCCCACCGCGCCCCAACTGAAGTTATCAAACGGTTTATGTTGTCTTCTAATGTCGATGTAAGTATTTTAATAAACAGCCATAATATTTAAATTCTCGTAATTGTAATGATGAAATGCATTTTATAGTATAAAATTTAAATTATTAGTTTTATTGGCGTTTCGCCATCTGAGGGAGCGTTCAAGTATTACATAACGCAATTTTTGGATATTATTTACCCCCCCATGTAACTCGCCGTAACATTTTTAAGTACCCAAGTACAGTACTGTACCCAAGTATAGAAAAAGGTTCCTGACCATCTAGTGACTGTTTAGTTACTATTATGTGGTGTAAGTCGAAAAAAATATTAACAATAACGCGTAATTTAATCCCCGCCCCGCATCGTAACGTTTTACAAAAAGATCCCCCCCCCTCCCAAAATACGTTACGTAATACTTGAACGCTCCCTGAAACTTTGATATTTCACCTTTTAATTTAATAAATAACGTAATGTCGGGGTCCAATAATCTCCAAAAATTGCGTGACGTAATACTTGAACGCTCCCTTACTCAATGGCAAATTAATGGTTATATTTTTTTTTCCGAGACAGATAATTAAAAAAAAAAATTATATACTGTATAATTGATAATTTCCGCGTTTAGGAGATATAGCCAAAAACGTGTTTTCACCCCTTTTTCCAAGATGGCAAGGGGGCAAGGGCGCTAACCCCACAAAATTGGGTATTTTAAACTTGTATTGACCCCCCCCCTACATGTCCCATAAATAAAATTGCGTCCTCTAACAAATGTTCAGCCCATGTAACATTTCAATGGACCATATCCATTAGTGATATTTTTCCTATTAGAATTGGAAACTTTTCAGAATCGAGAAGAAATAACGGAAATGATAATCCACCTGGGAGGTGAGGTCTGTGAGGGAGCTGAGTTGGACCCTCGGGCGACCCATCTCCTCTGTTCTCTTCCCGGACGGAGTGAGAAGATGCTGTGCTCTGTGGCCGGTGGTAAATGGGTGCTGCATCCAGCTTATATAGACAGGAGTAGGGCTGCTGGAAAGTTTCTTTCGGTAAGTAGAGTAATTAACAGCAACCTTTGGTATTAGGTCTCAAATTATTGTGTGTATATTTTTTTTTGACCCCCACAGCTAACTTAAATTATATCTAACAAAAAAATAATTGTACAAAAGATATAGCCAAATATGGAATACTAATATATATATTTTACTAGCGACCCGCCCCGGCTTCGCACGGATGCAATGCTGATACTAAATACAGTACAGAAAACGTTGTATATAAAAACATAGCGGCTCGCTCCGGCTTCAAACGGGTATATAATATATAGCCTATGTCACTCACTGAAAAAATGATTAAAATCGATACAGTAGTGTTGATTTATTAATTACTGCCCGTGGTCCGCACGCGTTAAATTTGGATATTTTGATAAATCTCGTAGGCTTCAGCCTGCGTTTGCAATGTAAGCGGAATTTTTTTAATTATTTACGACATCACATTAGAAACCTCAAAAATAACAGTATTTATCCACTATTTATTGGATGTTATTATACGTATAAACCTTCCTCTTCAATCACTCTATCTATTAAAAAAAAACGCATCAAAATCCGTTGCGTAGTTTTAAAGATTTAAGCATACATAGGGATATAGGGACAGAGATAGCGACTTTGTTTTATACTATGTAGTGATATACAATATGTTCAAACATTTACGAAAGGAAAATATCTAAAAATATATTTAATACATTTAACTATTACCTAATTCAGCTGTGTTAGATGGTGTTAAAGTGAGGGCAAGAGAGTTTTAGTGCTTTAATCAGTTATATTTACCCTTTTTTAAACAGAAATCGAGCATGTTTTACACTCTCTCGTATGCTGAAGGAAAACATCGTGGATTTAACTCAAAATATCGACATGTGTCAGGCACAGAAGGCTGATCACCTATTTGCTTATTTAAAAAAATCACGAAACAAATATGGGGCCGTTCAAGTGTTACGTAAGCAGATTACTTGTCACTCATCTTGTCAGCAAAATAAAATAAAATACGTTTATTATGGAACATAAGATACAGGTATCACTTATTCCACGTCATTAAATTTGATTCGGTAGACATCCCTACTCATCGGC